TGCTCGCCCAAATCCCATTCCCAAGCAGGCTGCCAGGGGAGGATACTGCGCCAGCCTCAGGCAGGTATCGAGGTGCTAAAAGTGGCCCCTGCAGCCCTTCCTTGCCCATCGCCCCTGCCCACTGCCTGCCTGAACGGGGAGGGTCACTGCTGTTCTCCTGCCCCAGCCCCAGCCATCCGTGCCTGCAAGGTTCCCAGGGCATGGGATTCCCCAGTGAGCAGTAGGAACAGGCTCCAACCATGGAATGGAGGCTGTGCAAGGAGGCTGGGTTGGGCACCAGAAAAGCCATGTTGCACATTCACCATCCTGCCTGCCCCAGGTGTGTTCCAGAGCCTGGAGACAGTTCCTCCAGTGTGGAGAGCCCTGGGGAAAGCACCAGGTAGCGGTCTGTCATTGCTCGGGTAGGCAGTGTCTGACACCGCAGGCAGCATGCTTTGTCTTCAGCCACTGCACCTCCTCTATAGCATGAGGAGTTCATCCTCCAAATAGCCTCTGGGAACCTTTTTTCCAGTTTTTCAGCCTCTCTATATAATGCAGTCTCCACATCCATGGGCAGTATTCCCATTGGGGTCCTGCCATGCTTTATACAGAGATTCAAACCATCGCCTGCTGCTGCTCTGACCCCTCAGGAGCTCATCCAAGGACAATACTAGCTCTTCTGGGCTTTGAAACTCCTGTTCAGTGATCCCCAGTCAGTACTGGAGGCCGCCTTTCCAGCCAGTGTTAGTCCTGTCCCAAGGGCAGGACCAATAATACCTGCTTCTATTTGCTCAGCTTTGTGCTGTCTTAAAATGTTTCAGTGTGCTCAGTTTATGAAACAATCCAACTATATGCTATTTCACAAATTTATCAGCAGTGATTGCTTCCAGAGCAGTGGCAAAAACAATGAAGTGCCAGCCACCTCTCAGATCCAGTCATGCCTGTAGGAACGCCTGCCGCCACTTACAGCTCTTTGCTAATCTTCGTCCATCAGTTTAACCACTCCTGTGTTGTGCAGCCGTACACAGAAGGCGTTCCCACAGCCTGTGTTACAGCCTTGCAGTTACCAATTACATTTTAACTTTCTCAAAAGAGGAATTTAGTTTGTTTGGCAGCTCCGTGATGACTGGCAAGAGTTGCATATTCCTAATGCTTCATTTCCTCATTTATGAAATTTCATATTATCTTTTCCCTCATTGGGACTGATGCCTGTCGTGGTTGCGTTCGAGTGGGCAGCCGAGCTCCACCACAGCCACTCTCTCACTCCCCCTCCTCAAAGAAGAATGGGGAGAAAATATGATGAAAAGGGATCAAAGGTTGAGATAAGGACGAGAAGATCACACAGTAATTATTGTAACGGGCAAAACAGACTCGGCATAGGGAGATAGTAAGATTTATTGCTCATTACTAACAAGCTAAAGAAGTGAGAAACAAAGGAAAGAAAACAAAAGCACCTTCCCCCCCATTCACTCTCTTCCACCTCCTCCCCCCGAGCGGCGCAGGGGAACGGGGGAATGGGGGTTATGGTCAGTCTACAGCACTTCTTCTCTGCCGCTCCTTCTCGGTCACTCTCGTCCCCTGTGCTGTGGGGTCCCACCCACGGGATGCAGTCCTTGATGAACTGATCCGGCGTGGGCTTCCCACAGGCAGCAGCTCTTCCAGAACTGCTCCAGATATGGGTCCATACCACGGGGTCCATCCCTCAGGAGAAAACTGCTCCAACCTGGCTCCCCCACGGGCAGCAGCTCCTGCCAGGTCACCTGCTCCTGCGTGGGCTCCTCTCCACGGGCTACAGGTCCAGCCCAGAATCTGCTCCTGCAGGGGTCCTCCACAGCCCACAGCCTCCATCAGTGCAGGTCCACCTGCTCCACCGTGGTCTCCTCCACGGGCTGCAGCGTGGAACCCTGCTCCACCGTGGTACTCCATGGGCTGCAGGGGGACATCCTGCTTCACCATGGGGCTCACCACAGGCTGCAGGGGACTTCTGCTCCGGCACCTGGAGCACCTCTCCCCCTCCTTCTACACTGACCTTGGTGCTGTTCCTCACTCCTTTCACTCTCCCAGCTGCTGTGTGGCGCAGCGTTTTTTTCTCTGTCTTAAATATGCTCTCACAGAGGCGCAAAACAACATCGCTTATTGGCTCGGCTCGGGTCAACAGTGGGGCCTTTACCAAACATAGGGCAGCTTCTAGATCCTTCTCACAGAAACCACCCCTATTGCCCCCTGCTACCAAAACCTTGCCACATGAACCCACTACAATGCCTTACTCCAAGGCAGATGAAATTCCAGCTGGGTTCAGTGCTGCTCCTGTGCAGACTTTCAGTTGACGGGGACTCACCCTGGCCTGGGAGGATTTGCACCATTCGCAAGCACAGACACCACACAGAGGCTGGTCTCAGGCTCTTGCCCAAATCCCCTGCATCCAGAAGGTGCCAGGCATAAAGAGAAGGATCATGCTATGCATATGCTAATTGCTAACAGGCAACTGTTAATTGCTTGCACCAAACCATGGCTAAGAAGGTTGCCATGACGTGCCAGGAGGAAGCCACAGGAAGAGCAAAGCCCACTGCTTGCTACAGAGTCCACATGTGGCTCAGCCGGTGGGTGCAGTTGTACCTGCCATTTATACAGCTTCCACCCTGCGAAAACCCTGTGTGCACCCATTGCCTTCCGATGATCAAAGAGCCTGAGGACACAGCAAGAGTGGAAGTCGTGCAGTGACAACGTCTGCGCTGGCTGCAGCTTGCTGCTGGAGCTTGTGATCTGGGCTGTTCCTGGTGCCAGGACAACACAGCCCGGTGGGAGGCATGGCCTGAGAAAGACGCAGGCGTTTCCCCGTGCTCAGTGGTGGTGCCAGGAACAGCAGTCTCTGGAAGAAATGGCAACACGGTGGTTAGAACCTGGCTCCCGAGTATGACCACCCTAGGCTCATGGGCTCAGGAGGGGCTCAGCAGCTGTGCTGGTTTTTCTTCCTACAGGAAAGTCCAGATGATAAGGAGGGAAGACCTTTTGCACTGCAATGTGAGTAAGACAAAAAGTTTCAACCCCCTTTTTTTTTTCTGTTGTCTTTTCTGCTAAGTCCCCTGCTGTGGCCAAGGGGGCTGTGTTACTCTGCTGCCATCATACCAACCAGGGCAAGGTAGAGCCTGTGCCTGCTTCCCAAACAACCTTCAGTAAACGTGCCTGGTAAGCAGAGAAGGGAAAAAAGCCAGATGTGTGCAATCCATCGGTGTGGATGCACCTCCACTTACCTGCTTGCGTGGGCCCCTAGGAGTGGGCAGAGCCACGCGAGCACTGCGAGGAGCAGAACAGCACGGTGGCACTGAACTGGGCAAAGCCTGCAAGTCTCACTGAGTGCGCAGCAGGATCGGTGCGGAGCACCACATGAAGCACTGCAAGAGTTAAGATGAGGTGGGGTCATTTTCCTTCTCTCCCTGAGCACATCACCACTGCCATGGGCTTCACTGCTTTCCCAGGCCATCGGGGCTTTTCTGAGAGGGTCCCCGGGAGGGACGGCGCCGTGCGGCTCTGTGGCCCCTGGCACACGGCAGCCCCGCGGCATTACACAACGGCCATTTTGCTTCTGCTGCTTCTTGCGAGAGCATGTGGGCAACGTGGGACACAGGCAAAATGGTTTCCATGGCAACTTGCACTTCAGAGATGCCAGTGAGAAAATTTGCGTTGGGGGAGAAAATTCTGCTTCAACTCACGTTGCAAGGAAGCACAGAGGTGGGCTGCGGCAATATCCTAGAAATGGCTGATGTAAAAATATCTCCGGTGATTTTTCTTCTGCAGGCTGCTCTCTCAGCTGGCACACAGTGGGCTGGCTGATGGCATTTGTCCCACGCAGTTACAAAGCAACACCATGTTGCTCTCTGCAGCCCCTTTGTGTTTTTTTCCAAAAGGACTAGGTTGGCAGCTCTGGAGTGCAATGTTCTGTTCTTGGAAATGGAGAGAGGTGGTCCAGGAGTGGAACACAGTCCCTTTCAGCCATGGAGATGGATTGTCCTCCAAATGTTGCCCACTAGCTGCTGTGGCTCCCTTTCCTTTGGGGGAGGCTAATGGTAGCCATAGGGCAGAGGGATGAAGAGAACCCCAAGAAGTCTCATCATCAGACAAATCTTTAAATAATAGCCCAGATGTAATGGGGTGAATTTAATGGAAAAATTGCCCTGTGAGGTAATGCCGGAAGAGTGATGGCTCTGTCTGGAGGGACAGAGTAAAGCCAGGAACCAGGTGAGTGTCTGCTTAACCTCTCTGCCCCAGAGGTGTGTTGGCCAAGGGAGGGTTCTCCAACTCTAGAGTGAATACAGACCTTGATGACATTCATGTCCTGGGCTGGGAAAGTATGCCAGAGGCACTGTGTAACTAGGAGAACAAACTCAGAAGACCTCGTTTTACCCAAAATGTAGTGTGATTATGCCTCCCAAATTAATGGGGATACCCACACCCTGAACGGACAGCCCAGCAACAGAGATGAAAAAGAAGGAGCCAGACCCCAGCAGGAGCTCTCCAGCAGCAGCCCGGGGCTCAGCCCCACCGGGCTTTGGCCCCAGCACCGCACCCCCTCTCCCTCCCCCAACGCAGGAGCCCTCCCGCGGGGTGCAGGAGCAGGACCCTGGCCCCGGAGTCCCCGGGGCTCCTGCAGCCCCCCCGGGGCCGGCTCCCCCCGTCTCCCCCGGGCACGCGGGTGGGACCTGGGGTCGGGGAGGGGAGCTCCCGGCACCCCGCACGGAGCGGCGCTGCCGCAGCCACCGGGCCCTGTCGGGGTCCCTCCCGCCGCCCGCGGGGGCCGGGGGCGGGCCGGGGGTGGGCGCTGCGGCAGCGCGGGGCCGCGGAGCGGGAGGAGCCGGCGGCGGGGAGCGGGGCGGCGCGGAGCGGAGCGGGCGCTTCAGCACCAGGGAGAGCGCCCCGAGCCGAGCCGAGCCGGGCCGGGCCGGGCCGCATGGGGCCGAGCTGAGCGGGAGGGCGCGGGCGGCGGGGAGCGGGCGGGGGCCCGGCGGGCTCCGGGCCGGCCGTGGATGAGCACCATGCGGCTGCTGCTGCTCGCCCTACTCTTCTCCTCCTCCTTCGCCCGCGCCGGCTGCGACCCCAAGATCGTCAACATCGGCGCGGTGCTGAGCACCAAGAAGCACGAGCAGATCTTCCGCGAGGCGGTGAACCAGGCCAACAAGCGGCACGGCACCTGGAAGCTGCAGCTCAACGCCACCTCGGTCACGCACAAGCCCAACGCCATCCAGATGGCCCTCTCCGTCTGCGAGGACCTCATCTCCAGCCAGGTACCCCGGGCCGGCGTCCACCCCCCGCCCCCGCCGCCGCCGCCGCCGGAGCCCCCCAACCCCGTCCCCAGAGGGCGCCGAGCCCCCCGCTGCCCCCCGCTTCCCCCCGCTGCCCCCCTCTGGCCCCCAGCCCCCAGCCCCCGCACACGCCGCGGCCCCGCGGCGCCCCCCGGCCGCTGCAGGGGGCTCGGGGCGCACAGAGCCGCGGAGCGGGGGTCGTGCCCCCCCGGCCCGGGGCGCCGCTGCCCGCATTGCAGCCTTTATGTAATTGCGGGCGGGCTGCGCGCTCCGCCGCGCGGGCACACGCACGCCCCCCGGGGCACACGCGGGCTCACGCGCCCAGCGAGCGGGTGTGCAGGCACGCAGCCACCGACACGCGTGCACGCACTGCCCGCACGCACACCCCAACACGCGTGCACACGGGCACCCGAGGCAGCACGCAGAGCCGCGGGCACGCGCTGGGTGCACGCATGGCATACACGCAGCAGGTGCGGGCACGGGGAGCACCACGCGTGCACACGCATCGTGTGCGCTCACATATGGGGTGCCCATGGGCTGTGCTGCGTGCACACACATGCCCTGTGCACACATGCATCATTATGCAAACATGGGCACACACACAGAACATGGCATGTCTACACTCATGTCAGTGTGCCAATTCACAGACGCTGTGCCACACGCATACGCACATCCATGTGCACACACGAGCACACACTGCACCGGGTGCACATACACGCTTACTGTCACTCAAACACATCCCACTCCAGGCACTGCAAGCACACGCGCACAAAGTACTGCCTGTACACACCCACCTGCACACACCCACGGGCCATACACTTGAAGGTCTGTGCACCGCAGCTGCACCCCCATCACACACAGCACCATTCCTCCCCCCAGCACTGCACCACACATGAAGCAGACACAAGCACACCCCTTACTACACACACATGCATGAGAAACATGAGCACACTGGGGATCATAGATACACAAAGAACACACATGCAACTTGCAGCCGCACTGGAGGTGCACACATACACACATACATGCACACACACACTCCCCTTAAGTGTGCTCTGGGGGCTGAGCCCACCGTTCACCCCACTTGGGGTGGTGGATGGGCAAACAGGCACCTAAAAACCTACCCCCATCTCAAATGCACTCATGAGCATGTAGAGCTGTGCTTAGGTGCACAGGCATGCACACAAAGTGTGTGAACACCTGCACCACAAAGACCCATGCACACGGACATGCATAAACACGGGCACGCCCCAGCACACAGAAGGGAAGTGCTGGCGGAGCAGTGCTGGCAGGGTCACAGCGCAGCTCCCCAAGGATGCAGGATGTCTGCAGACATCCCCAGGGATGCCGGCAGCACTGGGCAGGGAGCACAGCACAGGCTGTCCCTCACCAGCAACAGGGAAAGGGCTCAGTCGGGTCCCTCCCTGGCAGGAGACTCCATTTCAGTGACCCAGCTGAGGGATGCCCATGTCCAGGCCACCTCTAAGCCTCATCCCCAAGGCAAACCCTGCAGGCAGGGGCAGCTGCCACGCTGCAATGCAGAGGGGGCTGTGGGTGCTCGCATCAGGATGCTGGGGTGGCCACACCATCCCAATGGTCCAACTGCTCCTGGCCCCTCAGCACCAGCACGGCACACAGCTGCTCCTGTCCTGGCTGGCTGGCACTGTGCCCGAGCAGGGGGCTGCAAGGCAGGGGAGGGGCTGGGGACCCGCCTCACAAAATGGGTTCTCTTAGCCAGCTGCCGTGTGGCATGGAGCAGCCCTCGCCTCCCTGCCTCTCCTCCCCATGCCTGGTGCTGCCCAAAGACCCATCCCCAAGCCCATGTCCCACACCTGCCAGCACAACCCCCTCGCCCACCCCTGGTGTTGGCTGGGCAGCAGACACCCCCTCTCCTGCCTCCCCATACCCTGTGTGTTCTTCCCAGCCCCTTTCCCATAAATCACTCCCATGGTAGGGTCTCCAAACCCTGACCCAACTCTCTCTGCACCCTCAGCCTGCTCCCCTCCAGCACCAAGCAGGATCTGCCCTCATCCCACCCACCACCAAGCAGGATCTGCCCTCATCCCACCCACCCAGTCCCCAGGCCCTTCCCTGGACACGCTTCATCCTCCTCTCCCATCCTACCTAACCAGTCTGGGTGCACAGAACATCCAGGGGCTTGGGCAGATGTTTGGAGGAGGGAAGAGGGGCTATCTGTTCTTGGACATCAGTCCTTACATCGATTCACCCTAGCAGGAGACCTGTCACCAGCTGGGGACATTCCTGGTGCAGTGAAAGTGCATTATTATAACGAAGGGTCCCCTAGGGATTACACAGCTCCTTTCCCCTTGGTTTGACACCGAACATGATCTTGCTGGAGACCGAAATCCCAGCCCACCAGAACAGCAGGATGTTGCTGACATCCTCCCTCCCCATTTTGGCACAACCCCATCCCCTGCACCCCATTGCCCATGCTCCGGGCAGATCCCTTGTCAGCGCCCAAGAGCCAATGCCCCCATGCCGGCTCTCTGGTTTCTCGGGGCCAGATGGCTGATCTGCGCTGTGGCTCTGCGCTCTTCCTCCGGCTCTGAGTCCCAGCTGACCACTTTGTTCATAATAGTCCTCGGAGGGGAATTACAACCGAGTATTAAATGTGTGGTTAAAGAAATCGCATTACACAGTGTGACTGTAAGGGAGATGCTTCCCTTTAATCTGTAATCCATGAAAGTTATTAGTTTAGCCGAGCAGCTCGGCACGGCATTTCCATCAAGACACAGCCCTGAGCAGACCCATCCCCTCCGAGCCGCGGCAGGCTCCCTGCACCCCTGCACCGCGCCCTGGCTCCCAGGCGCAGTCATGGCTTTGCTGATGGTGATTACTTGAATGCCGCTGTTGTGCTAACGTGGGGCTGTTTAACGTTGCAGAAAAGGAAAATCACACTCGATGGCAGATGTGCTCCTGTGAAATAATGTTTGTGTCGTGTATCCTGTCCTGCAGGTCTATGCAATATTAGTTAGTCACCCTCCTGCTCCCAACGATCACCTAACACCAACACCCGTATCATACACAGCTGGCTTCTACAGGATCCCTGTCATTGGTCTGACAACACGCATGTCTATATATTCTGATAAGGTAACTGATGCATGTTTCTAGTCTAGTACCTCATACGTGTGGTGTAAATCGAGAGTGCCTCAGGAGGGTTAATGATGTTAAACACTTTCTATGTGTCTGTCTGTCCATACATCCTCTCTGGTTAAACCCGCAGGTCCCTCCCTCTCTTGCATCCCCAGTACATCATTTTTTTGCAGCTGCCAGTGTTGACCTACATAGTGCGGGATGATTTCTGCAGCGTTTCTCTGCCAGGCTGCTGGGCTCGCTGCTCTTCAGCCAAGCCAAATGCTCGCACTTGCTCTTGCCCTGCTTGCTAGAGGCAGCCAGGGGGTCCTGGGTGCTCTCCAGGTGCGGGGGGACCTGCGGATAGGCAAGAGGTTTTATGTGCTATTGGCAAAGGAGATAACAGAATTGCCTAATAAGTTGTCCTGAGGCTAATTCCCCTTCCCTGGCCATGACGAAGGCCAGGATGGATGGGGCTGTGGGCAGCCTGGGGTGGTGGGAGGGGTACCTGCTCCATCCCCATTGGAACCAGATGGGCTTTAGGGCCCCTTCCAACCCAAACCATCCCATGGCTCAGGCTGAGCAGCACTCAAGAAAGATTCAGATTCCAGTCTCAAACCACCCTCTGCTGTCCCCGTGGAAACACATCGATCTTGATGCTGGATGTGCTCCTGCTGTGCGGGATTTGGGGCCATGCCCTGGCATGTGCTCTGAGATGCTCTGGTGCTGCATGCTCTCAGCTCACAGCCCTTCTGCAAAACCACGGCGTGGCCAGCAAAAGCAGAAGCAGCAGCTGAGCAGGGCCAGGCTGTCCAGGTGCCATCACAGCCCTGGACCAAGGCAGCCTTGTGGAGGGTTTTGTTCAGCTGCACGGGCTTAGTGCGTGACAGCAGGCCTGCTCCAAAGCACGAATCATAGGCCTTTGCTTGGAATTTTTGAATATTCACAAATGCAAATGTTCAGTGCAAAAATAGTCACTCTGCCCACATGCTAAATGAAGCCAAATTTCAGGAGAGGAGGAGCAGAAGCTCCCAGAAACCCAGCCGGCAGCAATGCTCAGCAGAAGCAGCAGCAGGGCTTGGTAAAACCACAGCAGGGTGGCCAGCAAACCAGGGCCATGGCAGTGGCAGGGCTGGGGACCTGCTGGGGTCCCTCCAGGCATTGCAGGAAGGGGAGGGGGCAGGGCAAAGGGTGATACCAGAGCTGGCTGACCAAAGGAGCAGGCAGCCGGGATGTGTAGGGGGATTTCCTTCATGCTGATGTGGGGTGGGGGAGGGCTGGACCTGTAATGCCAGCAGAGATCAGCTGCCACTTCCAGAGGGTGACCTTGTGCTGAATTCTCCAGCTCACCCTGAGAGGGTGGGAGCTTCCCATGCAGACATCCCCAACCATCTTTCCCTATTTAAAAAATGCTATCTGCAAAAAAATTGCTGATAAACACCACGCGGTTCCCCTCAGAGCCAGAGGCAGGGGCAGGGGGATGCACTGGGGGCACTGGGCAGGCGCAGGGCCACAGGTGCCCTCACATGCAGGGACTGGTGCCCTTCCCTGGCACCTCTCGAGCATCCCTGTGGGGCTGGTCCCCACTCGGCTACCTTCCTGCAGAGAGGGGTGATGCCTGCAGGAGTTTGGTCACGGGCAAAGAATGGATGGAGAGAAGAGCAAGGAAGTTGCGCATTTGTCTGGCAGGCGCTCAGGGGCACAGAAGAGCGAAGGAAAAAGGAAAAAGGTGAAGGCATGGGAGAGGGTTGTGCAAAGCTCTGCCCACCCTGTGCAGGGCAGGCTGGTGCAGCACTGGGACATTCAGCTGCTTCCCTTTTTGGTTTCCAGTGATCAGCTTGCTATTTTGTTTTAATTCAGGAAATTATATCTTTTGGTTTAGTTTCTATGGAAACAAGCTTGCAAGATCACTTCGTGTGCATGCTCCTGATTGGTTTTGAAGGCATCAGCCAATTTTAGCTAAATTTCACAGGGGGTTGAAGTCTCAGAGTTAATTATGGTCCTCCCAAGGTTAAACTGCTTGAGAGAGGAGGCGTGGGCCTCAGCAAGACAGATTTGCCCAGTTCTTTTTGATGCTTTCGGAGCATCTCCAGTGAAGCGCAGCGCTCCACAAGCTGCAGCCAGTCCTTGGTGATGATACCTGAGGGAAGCAAGCTTTTACTGCTCCTGGTATTCAAAGAACTGTTTGCTGCAGAAATGGGATTACAGCCGGCAGTCCTACCCATTGGGACATTCACATCTCCTTTATGCCTCACCCAGAAAAATGAAATGCTGTTGACACCTGGACCCTGGAGAGGCAGTGGGGCAGGGGATCAGAGGCAGCTCTGGACTGAGACCTGCTCTGTTGCTGGAAGAGATGAAAATTGGAGCTTATGCAGGCTGCACTGGGAGAGGCACGTTAATGTCCAGCACCCAGTCCTGGTGACTGAGATGAGGTCTGCCTGTCTCTCCAGCCCGGCTCTGGGGACAGCTTTTCCCTCTGGTTTCTCGTCTCACTCCATGCTCTCTCAGGGGGTTATTGCTCACTGAGAGAGGGGATTTGGTTGTTTGTTTGTTTTCTTTTTAAATTATTATTATTGTTTTTTTTACCGGCCTCACTGTTAAGTGATGCTCCGCAGCAACAGTGTGAATCAAGGCGAGAAGCTGCACTGCAAATGGGGACAAAACCAATTCCCCCCAACCTCGGCTGAGGTGTCAGGGTCAGGACTTGAACAAGAAGTGATGTGAGAGGCAGGAGGGGGGCTCCCAGCCTCCTCCCAGCAGCGCAGCCATCAGCAGGGGCAGCTGCAGCCGGTGACGGGCTCTGGGAGCGGCAGCCAGTGCTGCTGGCAGTGGTGGAGCCCACCCACCCCAGCCCAGCAGAGCTTTCCACAGCCTCTGACGGAAGCTGGAGGGGACCAGAGCAACCCCATTGCTCCCAAAGGACACCCCGTCCGTGCATCAGAGGAGGTGAGGATGATGCATTTGCACCTGAGCTCCCCACACATCTGCCCCCACCGAAACCCCTCCCAGCACACATCCGAGCTCTTGCAGAGTTATTTCAGCTTCCTCCCACACCTGCAGCTTCCAGGAGGGGTCTCAGCGGGGTGGGCAGGCTGAGCAGAGCAGGCAGTGCAGTAGCCCAAGACCCTTCCACAAAGGCACTGGACAGGGCTTTTTAGTACCCAGCTGATTGATTTGGCATAATTGGTACCTTTCTATATTGGGATTTCTGTCAGTCTCCTTGAAATTGCCCAATGGCTCCGTTTTGGGGTGTGTTGCTGGGAAGGGGACCGACCACATGATGCCCACAGGTTTTCAAAGCAGAGCATGTTGTTTCCTGCAGCCTGCAGGTAAAATGACTGTCCCAGCAATGGACAGGGAGCTGCAATGAGTCCTTAGGCTGAGAGAGGTAAAGAAGACAGCAACCCTTTCACTCACAGACCTGTACGTGGTCCTTATGTGGACACACGTGTAGTACCCGGTGGCCCCACGTGCAGCCACGTACACCTGCATCTCCTGAACCTCAGCTCTCTTCACATGTGCTCATGTCAACAAAGTCAGCAGCACTAAAACCCTACCGTTCCTAGGGCTCTGGCCCCACAATCACTTCCAGTATGTTTGGGTTTCCACCAGGGTGATCCTGCTTTGAAGCCTGGATTCAGTCGCAGACGTTTTTCCCCAGAAGCAGAGCTCAGCGAGGGGGCGCAGGACTCAGCTCCCACGTTTCGGCAGGGGACAGGAGGGTGCTGCAGGGAGCTGCTCCTGGGCTTGCTGCAGGCAATTCCCACGCGCCCATCCCAGCCACCCTGTGCCCGGCAGGCACAGAGGGGAGCAAATGTTGTGAATCCTGCAAAATGACTTGCAAGGAGAGTTGCTGGTTGGTAATGAGGAGTGTTTTCGCTGTGTGCCCAATCTGAGGGGAAAAGCAGTGGGTAGTCAGGGTGTGTGCTGTGGTAGAGGTTATCAAAGCACCAAAACATGATCCCCAATGGCCTCTGCACATCATGAACTGGACTTGTTAACCTTCGGGAGAATTTACTCTCATTTTTCCACTGACCTTTGGGCCCTGCAGAGAAGCTCAGGAGTCCCAGGTTCTTCAAAAGCAGGGTACAAAGATGGGATTGTTCATCTTGAAATCCAGACTCAGCACTTGCAATTAGCTTTTCTTCAATATCCTGCTTAAAAATGACAGTTTGGAATCCAAGAGCTGAGATACCCTCATAGCAAGCCCATGACCTTTTTGACACTGCCTCAGAAAGTAAATATGCCCGAACCTACAGCAAGTAATGGGTGCCTCTGGCCTGAGGTATGGAACTGGACCTGGAAATGCCTGGAAGTGTCCACCAAAGAGAGCTCAGATGCCATGCTTGCATGGAGACCACATTTCTTGTCGGACTTTGTCCCTCTTGGGCTTCTTCCTGATCCCATTTTTCAGTGCTGGGCTTACAGGGTGAGCTGTATTTCTCATGCTCTGCACGTGGTTGGGAATGTTTGTGCTAGTCATACAAAGCTGCACCTCTGTAGCACTTATTATGGCTCTCCTCATTCCTTTTCTCCTTTAGTTAAATAGCCACAGCTTTTCCCTGTCCTTCCATAATTAGGAAGTGCTTCCAGGCTTTGTTATCTTGCTGCTGCCTCCATCATTTCCATGCTTTGGGCCAGGGCAGCCGAGCAGCCCCACTGTCCCAGAGATGTCCCAGTGCATGGAGATGTGGCCGGGACAGGAGCTTTGCACTGCTTTTTGTGTTTGCATGCTTTGGTTGGACTTCATCACTGTGCCGTGCATGAGGAAAAGGCACTGGCTGGTCTGCCTGCTCCTCCTGCCTGGGTCCGTGATATACACAGTGCCTTTTCCCTCCCAGCCTGAGCTGCCATGGCAGAGTTAGGACACTTGTGACCCATCTGGGTCAGGTCCCTAGATGAGCAGCTCTGGACAAGCCCTGGTGGGTCCAGGGAGCCATCTCAGCCTAAAAAAGGAAATACTGTGATGCTCTCTTTTCTGTCCCCTCCTGCTTTAGACCTCTGCTTCCCTCCTGTGCAGAGCTGGTTTGCTGAGCTGCATCCATGCTGTATGTAAGCACTTCCATTTTCTAATATCTGACTCTAGGGCCTTTTGGAGAAGCTGCATTTTTTGAAACCTCTCTGTCAGCTGCAGCTTTTGGTGCAATTGCTCCCCAAAGAGTGCTGTAGTTAATTAGGCTGGAATTGCTATTGCTCAATCATCCAACCATAATGATGTCTTCAACCAAATCAGATAGGTTAGCTGGGGCAGGAGTCCAGCACTGACTCCTCCTGCATGTTGCTGCAGAACAAGCTGACCTAGAAACAATCCAACAGCGTATTATAAAACTGCTTTTCTGAGCTTTTCTCCTGACCAGTGCCTGCTACATACCTGCATATATAGCAGGCATCTGCAGCTGCTCCTTACCATGCTCTGAAGGCAATTTGTTTTCTTTGTGATGCCCATAGCTCTGTAATATTTTTGGACAGAGCAAAGAGGCAAAGAGCAAAGGCTATATTTGCACTGAATATTTTTGACAGTTCATTCCTGGACAGGGTTTTTTTCACCAAGCATTTACGGGCCACAGAGCAAAAACCCTCTCTCCCATGCACTGGACAGACCACAGCAAAGCATGAAATTGTAGCCAAGGTTTTCTTCTCAGCCAAAAGAAAGGAGCGCAGGAACCAGCTGAAGGTGTGCAACCCCCAGGACAACCCAAAATTGCTGCTTTGCCTTTTTGGCCTTGCGTTCTCAGCCCTGCCCGGTCCCCCAGACGCACCCTGGCAGATGACCCACACCAGTCTATGTTTAGCTCTTGTTCTTCCTTGCAGAGCATCCACCTGTCCTTTTTGCGCACGGTCCCACCATACTCTCACCAGGCCAACGTCTGGTTTGAGATGATGAGAGTCTTCAACTGGAATCACGTCATTCTGATAGTCAGCGACGACCACGAAGGTCGTGCTGCACAAAAGAAGCTGGAGACCCTCTTGGAGGAGAGAGAGTCCAAGGTCAGTTCCTGAACATTGTCTTGTAGCTTTGTTTAAGCAACAACAACAAAACTAGAAGTCTCGGGCTGTTGTATGTATGTAGATTTCTGTATGTAAAACACCTTTTCTTTCCATTGTAACATGGCTAACATGCTTAAAGCATCAACAGTGTCTGACTAGTACCTGACAGAACTTTGTACTTTATTCATTTCACTTGCTTTGCCATGGTCAAAATCTCCTACATGTAAATCAACTACAAAATGAAGGGAAGGATAACCTGGAGCTCTGCAAATGCCTCGCCCAAGAGTCCTACCTAAGGAGAGGACCAGTCACTCAGCTTAGGGAAGCGCCTGCCCCACTTACAGCCACCCAGGGGCCCACCCAGACCCAGCAGTGCCAAACCAACCCAGAAAGCAGCTTCTGAATTGGCTAACTGGAGCTCATCTTAGTGGCTTAGGAGGGGCGAGGGCGGCCAGCGCATGGCTGCACAGAGGTGTAACACAACCTCTCTGTGCAGCTGTCAGCTCCAAGGTGTTAGGCTGATGCCCCTGTTCCCATCTCCATTGAAGCACATGCTAAATGCCGCTTTCCTGGCGCCTCATGCTGTCACCAGTGTGGCTGAGGCTGGCAGGAGCAGCTTTACCGAGGAGGTGTGCGGCATCTGCATGCAGGGAAGCAGGGAGGGAGGCAGGGGAGGTCCCCTGAGCCTGCTAGAAATTTGGCAGGACAGCCACAGACCTACTGCCATTGAGTAACGGGACCGAGCAAGCATTCAGGCCAAGCAGAGGAGGACAACACAGGGAGTTGGTTGTCTACAGCGGCTCAAAGGCAGACACCTACCTGGAAAGCAAGGAGCCTCCTGCCCCATGGAGCAAAGTCCCAGCACGCCCTCTCACTCTGGGCAGCACTAGGTCCTCCGGGGGAACAGAGCCTGAGCTCACCGCTGGGTCTGCAGCAGTGCATCCCTTCCTGCTCCCTCCTGGCTCATGGCCACAATCTGATCTTCACTTGCCCCAGCCGTGGCCTCTTGACATTTGGCAGTCAACTGCTGAGAAGTGTTCATAGGCATCTCTCGTGCTTGGAGCTGGCATCTGAGCTGCGACCAGCTCTTCCTCATCTCTTGTCAAACCACCAAAGGAAACGTTGGTGCAGAGACATGGGCTGGCACAAACTGAGCTGACCGGCAGGCTTTTGGTTTTGGCACTGGGCTCCAAGAAGTTCCTCCCTCGCTGCAGCCTGGGCCATCGTGAGGCTCCAGTGTGCCACTGACCACGCTGGGATCCTCCTGCCTCCAAAGGCATCCCTGTTGGATCACGGCAGGACCGTGTTCCTCCCCACAGCCTCTTTCCAGCACAGTGTCTCTCACCCAGGGAGCACTGTGGTTGTTCCCGCTGTCAGTCCATCATCCCTTATCTTTTGTCTTTTGGTTTCCACCTTCCGTTTTCCTGCAGCTCCTGTGCATCCTCTCTTGCTGCTCCCTCTCACGCCTCCGCTCTGCTTGCTCTGTGAAATGCTCCTGGGCACAGGGTGTATTTCTTCTTTGCTTGTCCATTGAACAGAAAAGCCACTGAGACCTTGGGTTTGAAAGGCAGGGGAGAGCAGATCTGTCCTCAGATCTGTCCCGCATTTGAGCTGAATCTATGACATCTCTTGGTATCTCCTGGCAGCTGCAGGGCTACTCTGGATGCCCCGGCCATCCCCAGAATGGGGCTTGTGCTCTGTAGTGGTAGGTCGTGGCGTCTTTCCTTTGGGGTCTGCCACAAGCTCTTGATCCTCTTTCCCTTGAGCTTGCTTTGGTCAAACTGGCTGGATTGTCTGGTCTGGAAGGTGGTAGCTGCTCCTCTCAGGGCTTTCCTCTCTTCCTCATTTCTTCTGCTAATTGCCCTTCTAACCACTACTGTGCCAACTCTTCATAATGTGAAGGGGTGCCCCAGCCCCCTCCCCAACTTTCTCCAGGGTATCCTGAGGAGGCAGCAAACAGGAGAGCTGATCTTGAACTCCTCACTGCTTGGATCACAGCCCCTGAGGACCTGGGAGACCTGTAGTGAGTGAGAGGCTCACCTGGCCCTAGCACGGCTTGTCTCTGGGGTCTGCACTAGCCCTGGCTGTTCCTCAGGCATGGACATGTACTTCAAGCAGGTTCTTGGAGCCCAGCATTTGACCAACCCAGCCCTGCTCAGAACTGGCACACCCATGTGCAAGTCTTGACTGAGGTGTCTGCAGTAGCTCTTCACCAGGGGCTGCTGCTTGGTCCCTGGCTGAGCGGCACAGCTCTGCTGTGCCCACTAACCACCAGCACTGGTTGGGCTCAGGGAGGTACCAGATGCTGTGAAGTTCAGAGCTTGTCCAAGTCAGGGGTGGAAGGTCCCTGGGGTGCCAGCTCCCTTCTTCTGGGATGGTGGTGTTCATGCAAGTGGTAATTTTTAAACAAATGCTGGAGAACCTGGTGGAAAGTGAATTTTGAATTTGTGGGTCCCTGAGTGAAACGTGGGATGAAGAGCAGGGAAGTGCTGTGGGACCACACAGAAAAAGTGAAAAGAGAGGCAACGTTTCTGGTGATTGCAATAGGGATGGAGGCAGGGAGAGGCAGAGGTGATCAGGTACCATCAGGTCCAGCTGTGGTGGACCCAAGACTCTGCTTCGCTTTGCTGACCAGCTTTAGTCTAGGTGCCAGCACATCCCAGGCACATGAGGGCAACCGTGTCTGAAGGCTGCAGAATGGATGACCAAGTTTCCAGCTAAATTGATGGTGCCTGAGGGAAAGTGGCCAGTCTCTCTTCATTGGAGAGCATTCGTGCCGTCCTGCTGCTGCAGCTCTGCTCTCCTCCAAGGCTGTGGAGGAGACTGGCAATTGGAGCAGACTCGAAGAAGCAGTTGCAGAAAATCCCACTGTGGATGCCATCAGAAGTGAAGGCAGAGCCTGGCTTGGAGCAGATTTTCCTCCTCAGATTCTTTTCCTTGCAAGAACCCAACTTCTTAGAGCAGTGAAAAGTCTGCCAGACAGTGCCATGGAGAAGAGAGGGCAGATCACACAGCTGCACAGATGGGACACCTGGCAGAGCACCTTGTCGAAGCCTGGCCCGAGAGCTCAGGAAGAAGCATACAGTTTAGTCTGGAAAGAGAGACACAGAGGTTAAACCTGGCTGCCTGAGGAACAACCTGGGAAATGGAACCCTTATGTTACGGGAGTGCAAAGGGTCGGGTTCCCAGCAGGAATCAGTTGCCATAAGATACTGCAAAATGGAGGTGGAATAGAGCCGTGTCCTGCATCCCACACAGACAGGTCAGGGATGCCCAGCTGGGGTGGGAAGGGGCCAAGAAGAAGGGGTCAGACTGTCCCACCAAGGCTGCCTGGCACTGCCCTGCAGACCCCATCAGTGTGGCACTGGGAGGACCACAGGGCCTGGGGTGTCGTGTGGGGGTCTGTGTGCGCTGCTGGGGTCACAGCCCCAGGAGCTGGCACCACCAGCCTGCAGCATGCTGCTGGAGGAGAAAAACCTCCAGAAGCAGGTTTCATGCCCCTGGTCCCTGGGGGCCACGCAGTGGGAGCTGCTCAGGCAGGAGGCAGGGGAGAGGCAGGCCCCCTGCTCCGCTCCCCACAGGACCACCTGCACAGGCCAAGCACCCCAGCAGCCCCACGGGCACCCTGCCTCCAGCAGAGCCACCAGGTGCCCCCCAGCACCAGGTAAAAGCTGCAGTGTCATCCCATGATCACCATTGCTTCATACTGCCATGCTTTGAGCTAACACAGGACATAGCAAGCTTTTTTCTTTCTCTTTTGGATGACAACAGAGCTCCAAAAAGCTGCTCCCTCCTTGCAGGAGGTGAGAAGTTCTGCTGAGGCTCCTCACATGCTGCAAACTCTCTTAGGGAGAACAGGAGTGTAATGGTAATAGTAACGGTAGTGATGCTAACAATTTGATAGTAACAGTTTGTGTTTATCCAGCACTTTCCGTACACAACATTTTGTCCTTTACTTCCACAGTAATTCCATGGAATTCCCACCACTTAGGCCCTTAGAGATGCGTAGATTGTTTCTGAGCTTAAGATAAAAATTTCTTGCTGAAGAATTCCCCAGTCCCACAAGGGAAATGCAACTGCACCGCGACAGCTGTGGCACTCAGGCTTGCTCTAACCAGTACGGCTTTGCACCCTGACGCTCCCGCGAGAGCTGAGGCACTCTCTCCTGATAGTGGTTTTTGCGAGCTCCAGCGTTATAGAGACCCTTTAGCAAACAGTGGAGGAGGAGGTGGATGTTGGATTGCTTTACTACACGTCATTTTCAACTGTTTATAATATTCTTCTGTGTCTACATATTTTCTCTGTGCACATTATTCATCAGAGTAAAAAAAGGAACTATGAAAACCTCGACCAACTTTCCTATGACAACAAGCGAGGACCCAAGGTATATATGCATGGAAATGCACGCCGCCCACCAACCTAACTAGCAAATGAAAAATAGCCACAGCCACCAGAAAAGATAAAAATAAAAAAAAAATAAAATAAAATAAAAAAGAAAAAGAGAAAGAGAAAAAAGAAAAGAGAAAGAAAGAAAAAAAATAAATAAAAAAGTTCCATGACTATGTTTCTTGGTAGCACGTTTTTATGTTGAGATAGTTTGGTTTGGACTTGAGAATGGAAACCTAGCCAGCTGACCCTGGAAGGATTTCTTTTTGAGACATGCATGTGAACCAGTAATTAACTTGCAAGTTTTTTTTTTTTGGAAAGTTGAACCAACCCCTTTTCCTCCCCAAAGGAAACAGTTCCTTGGTGTAAGTTGCTCACTTTTATTCCCAAAGGTTAACCCTGTGCAATATGTTTTTTTTTCATTTCCCATGTTTTTGAAAAACAACACTCGTTTGAGTTTTCAATTGCATTTCAAAGCCTTTTTCTCTTTCCTGTACAATGCACGCCTCTTTTTGGGTCTTGATTGACTTCAGTTTGCATGCACAGTGCAAAAAAAAAAAAAAAAAAAAAAAAAATCAAACCAAAATAAAACAAAACTTTAAAAGAGAAAGGAAGGAAGGAAAGAAAGAAAAGAAAGAAAAGAAAATAAAAGAAAAAGAAAAAAAAATATCTGTAACCAATCTTATTTAGCAGACTTTTGTGCAGTTTAATGAATTTTCTTGACCCTTTTCTAGATAGCATGGCTCTCACAAACAGTCCTCAGTCTCCTGCACTAACCAGCTTTGCTCACACTAACCACAGGCTGAGAAAGTGCTTCAGTTTGACCCCGGGACCAAAAATGTGACGTCGCTGCTGCTGGAGGCTAAGGAGCTGGAGGCTCGTGTCATCATCCTCTCTGCCAGGTGAGAGCCGTACAGCCCTCCCTCCTCTCCCCTGCTCCAAATCCCCTGCTCCCCCTTGCAACATTGCCCTGCCCTGGAGTCCATGCAGATTTGGGGCACGCCGCTCTTTTTGAGGAGCATGGGAGAAAATCCACTTGAGGCCCCACATCCCCGTTATTGCACGGGGTGCGCTGCCATTCAGAGACCTTGCAGCCATGGCCACAGTGGAGGTGCCTGGATGTCCTGCAAGGCACTGGCATCTGTGGGTGCAGCGGTAGTACCAGTGATGTATCCTGAGCCCCCTGTAAAGGTGTGGGCCCTGTTGGTTTTTAGATGGTGAGTGATAAGGAGCAGGCCAGATTTTTTGGGTATTGCGGGATTAGGTGATGCTGGGAAAGAGGTTCCCATTGCATCAAGCAATTACTCATTGCCCAGAAGAACCAGTGGCCAGAGGGGATCAGAGGAGGCTGCCTGGGGCTCCCAGGGGTGGAAGACAGTGTGAAGGGGGCCATCAGCACCTGGAGCCACAGTGCTGTTCCCTTCTTCTCATTGCAGCGAGGATGATGCGGCCACGGTGTACAGATCAGCAGCCATGCTCAATATGACGGGCTCCGGCTACGTGTGGCTGGTGGGAGAACGGGAGATCTCGGGCAATGCCCTGCGCTATGCCCCTGATGGTAGGCACCCACCGGAGGCACCTACCCCCTGTTGGCCAGGCCTGCTGGGGGAGCCTGCTTGGGGCTGGGATGAGTGATCCGGAGAAACACAATGTCGTGGTGGTCCCGAGGGAGTGGTGGGTCCCACACAATGCTCTCCCTTGCCCGCATGTGGAGGCAGAAGCCTGAGGGCTTTGGCCACGCTGCCCTGCCCCACATCCAGCTGGCTGGGGCCCTGCAAGATGAACGCCACCTGGGAGAAAGGCTCTGTGTCCTTGTTGTCCCCTGTTCTGCTGGGGCATGCAGGTTGGTGCCAGCCCAGCACCACTGCCGCCACCTGCCCCTGCCCAGAGCTCAGACAGGCATCCAAGGGGACCTCAGCCCCATAACTGTGTGCTTGCTGTCCACAAACCCTGCCTGTAGGAGTGACAGTGGTGCCCAGTGGGGCTGACCTGCTCCTCTACTCATGGCAGGAGTCATCGGTTTGCAGCTCATCAACGGGAAGAATGAATCAGCCCACATCAGTGACGCTGTTGCAGTGGTGGCCCAGGCTGTGCACGACCTGTTTGAAAAGGAGAACATCACCGACCCACCGCGGGGCTGCGTGGGCAACACCAACATTTGGAAAACAGGGCCCCTTTTCAAGAGGTATTTTGGGAAGGATGCATTCTGCATCCCCAGGGGAAGGGTCCTTCTAGGGGAAGGAGCTGGAAAAGGTGGGAGCATGTGGAAAAGGTGCAGGAGGGAAGCACGGTCGCTTTGTGCAGAGCATCTGTCAGTACAGCACGTGGCACAGGACTGTTTGCACTCTACTGCATGATGCAATGTGAGAGCTACATCTGTCCTAGAAGAGTAGCCAAGACACGGGCTCAGGCTCCGGCCCTGGTTTGTCCAGGCTGTTCGGGCACCATCCTGGTGCCTGGCACTGGTTCAGTCCCTGCCACCCCATGCTGCCCTGGGCAATGCTGGGACAGCTGGGATCAGCTGGGGACAGCTCCCCAGAGGACAGCTCTGGGGACATGAAAGGATGGAACTTAGTGTGGGTGGGAGAGGGGAAAATGGGGTTTTCTGCCAAATCAGGGTAGGGGGAGGTGTCTGCCAGTGCTGCAGGCGTGTTTCTTGCTGGATATTTCTGGGCTGCTGGCAGGGCTTGGGGACAGGAGATCTCCATGCATGGGGCAGACTGCTCTCTGCTGTAGCAAACCCTGGTGTCATGTTTTCAGGTAGTGTGGTCTCAGCAAACCAAGGCATGTGGTGCAGGATCAGAGCATGTGTGTGTTGATCTCACTGCTGTGGGTGGTGTGATGGGCAGATGCTGCATATGGTCCCTGGGACCTGATCTTCTTTCTTCATGGTGTTTTGTGCTGCATCTCTGCAGATGCTGGAGCCACAAGGGCCTCTTCTGCAGGCAGGATCTAGCTAAGGCAGCAGTTCCCTCCCTGTGCAGGAGGGCAGCCTGGCCCCTTGTTTCAGCTGTGGGGTCCTGTGCTGGGGGTTGCTCCCTGCAGACATGATCATGATGTCCTGCAGGATTCTCCTTCTGTACACTGGGTCCTGTTGAGCGTGGGACCTGCAGAGTGTGAAGCTTTCTTTAGAAAAGCAGTGACACAATCTTTGGCACGAGCCATGTGATGTTGTTCTCTGTGGTGCACCACAAGAGGCCCAGTGGATTCTGTGTTTTCTCTGTCATCTCTCAAGGGCTCAGAGAGGTTGGTTCTCCCCTTGGTGGTGCATGTGCCTGCTGGGGTGTTACTGCGGTTGTGATGGGCTGCTGCTGCTGGCAGAAGCAGCAGGAACTGTGACATGCATGCAGCTCCCAAGAGACCCCTAGAAGAAGGTCTCCTTGGGTGCCGTGGTATGGAAGTATGGGCCAAGTCATTCCATAGGGGACTGGAACTGATCCGATGGAAAAGAGGGGACAATGACAGCAGGTAGGGTAGTGCAGCATTTGGGAAATACGGCTCTTCAGACTGCATCCACCAGGAGCAGATGCCCACCAAGCTATGAACCAGTCACAGGTGGCCTTGACTGGACTTCTGTAGGGTAATGGCCATATGGGTCATACCAGGCAACTGAGAGAGCATTTGCCTTCTGAACCCTTCTTAGATCTCCCAGTGGCCACCACAGGTTTTCTGTGTTGGCCCCACTGTGTTTCTCTTCACAGGGTGTTGATGTCCTCCAAGTACTCAGAGGGCGTCACTGGCCGGGTAGAATTCAATGAGGATGGGGACAGGAAGTTTGCCAACTACAGCATCATGAACCTGCAGAACCGCAAACTGGTCCAGGTTGGGATTTACAACGGCAGCCACGTACGTACAGCCCTGGGCAGCCTGGGCGGGAGGGGAGTGCTAGTGTGTCTGCCCACAGGCTCACGTCTGTCTCCTTCCTCGGGCTGATCACAGGTCTTGACCAATGACCGGAAGATTATCTGGCCAGGGGGAGAAACTGAGAAACCTCAAGGCTATCAGATGTCGACCAAATTGAAGGTAACAGCACATGGCAGCAGGGGTTGTGACTTCATCCACCCCGCACTTCTGCTGCTGCCCCTGCAGCTTCCAGCACCTGCCGTCTCAGAGTGGTTACAGCAGAGCAACTCCGACAAGGTGCTGGAAGGTGCTCGGAGCTGCAGCACAACTTCCAGCTGGGGACAAACCACCAGGGGAGAACCGTTTGGTTTGGGAGGAGACAGATGGAAAGGGGATATGAGACAGCAACAGAGAAGGGGCGGAGGGGAAGGTGGTCACTGTTCCTCATGGCTTGGGAGCCAGAAGGCACACAGCAGTGGTTTGCAACAAATAGAAAGATGGGATCCTTTGACCAAGATGGGATCCTTTGACCAACATGTGGTTCAGCTCTGGAGCCCTTTGCTGTTGGCCAATGCAGAGGGCAGAAGGAAATGTGTTCAAAAGGAGGTTAAATAAGCTAATGCAGGGTAGGTGGGCTGAGAGCTGCAGTGCTGGGCTCAGGAAATCCCTGAACAGCTGATGGCCAGAAGCAGGAGGTAACACTGGGAGAAGGTCCCTCTCCCCACCTGGGAGGAGATAGCTCTGGAGTGGGATGGAGACAAGTGGACACTTGTGCTTCCCCTGCAGATTGTGACGATCCACCAAGAGCCCTTTGTGTATGTGAAGCCCACGCAAGCAGATGGGACGTGCAGGGAGGAGTTCACCATCAACGGTGACCCTGTCAAAAAGGTCTTCTGCACAGGGCCCAACGAGACCATCCCAGGTAACACCATCAGGCAGGGAGCGCAGCAGCCTCTGCAGCCCACACGGCCCATGCTGTGACCCCAGCAGATGGCTTTTCCTCTGTCTCACTTCCATGTGGGCTCCAAGGCTGTTTTGAGGGACTGCACCCCGTGATTGTGTCTCCTGACAAACCCCCACTCCCTTTGCCTTGATCTGAAGCAGAAGCACCCCCGAGGCACCCGCTGCACTGGTGTTAACACCAGTCTCAAACCATTGTGCTGGGGAAAGCCTGCTTCGGGATTAGGAGTGAGCACCTGGTTGGGGGTGCGAGCCATGCAGCAGAGCCAGGCCTGCCCCAATCCCCCTGAGTGGATGCGCCCCCAGTCCCTTGGCCCATCGCAACATCCTCTGCACAGCTCCCCTCAGCCCTGAGCCGTGTGCAGGACACGTCCAACCCAACGGGGACATGTTGGCTTCCTCCCAGGCATCCAGCCCCCTCCTTCCCCTGCTGAGGGTCAGCAGCAGCTCAGCCCACCTTCCTGCAGCATGTCCCCCTGGAGCCCCACTGTCCCCACCTTGCCTCCTCCCACACTGCTCCTTCCCTCGCACCCCAGGCGATGGAGGCGGTGGGAAAGGTGCCCCAGGCAGGCAGCACTATGTAACACGGATGCACCGCACATGACGCCAAAGCCGTGCAAGTGGCCACTCTCCCCTGGGGACAAACATGGGTGCTGCAGGGGGTCCCTGGCAGAGGGCTGCCTCCACTCATCCCCCCCCTTTCGTCTTGCGCACAGGCCGCCCCACCGTGGCACTGTGTTGTTACGGCTTCTGCATTGACCTGCTCATCCGCCTGGCGGGGGTGATGAACTTCACCTATGAGGTTCACCTGGTGGCTGATGGTAAATTTGGTACCCAAGAGCGGGTGAGTCTGGGCAGCCTGGGGTGCCTCTTTGCCCGTATCTTGTGTCAGAACACGGCCAAGCCATTCGGGCAGAGCTGGCCGGTGGGGTGGGTGCTGGGGTGAGGGGCTGACCCCTCGCTGGCTCTGCCACAGGTGAACAACAGCAACAAGAAGGAGTGGAACGGGATGATGGGCGAGCTGTTGAGCGGGCAGGCGGACATGATTGTGGCTCCCCTCACCATCAACAACGAGCGGGCACAGTACATCGAGTTCTCCAAGCCCTTCAAGTACCAGGGTCTGACCATCCTCGTGAAGAAGGTATGGGCTGGGCTGGGTGGGCTGGCTGTAGGAGATTCTGGGTGGGCAGGGTGCTGGCTCGGTGGGTGCCAACATTGTTCTTCTTTCTCCCTTGTGCTAGGAAATCCCCCGCAGCACTCTGGACTCATTCATGCAGCCCTTCCAGAGCACACTTTGGCTGCTGGTGGGGCTGTCTGTGCACGTGGTGGCGGTGATGTTGTACCTCTTAGACCGATTCAGGTGAGTGTGCTGTGGGCCACCCAAGGGTGGGTCACCGAGGGAGGCAGGGGATGGGGAGGGGTCTCCCAGGGCTCTCTGTGGAGTGGTACCAGCATGAGGCAGGCAGGGCTCCAGGTCGGCAGTGTCAGGGACACGAGGGCTGTGCAGCCAGGCAGGGAGGCAGGGTGAAGGGCTGCCTGGGGCAGAGCGTAGTCTGTAAGGATCAGTGCTGGAGGGCTCCCAGGGCATGGGGAAGAGTCTAGAGAACCAGGCTAAGGGACATCAGATGAGCTCTTTGTCTTGTTTACCAGCCCATTTGGCCGCTTCAAAGTGAACAGCGAGGAGGAGGAGGAAGATGCCCTAACACTCTCCTCGGCCATGTGGTTCTCCTGGGGAGTCCTACTGAACTCTGGCATCGGAGAAGGTGCGCCAAGGCAGGCAGCCGTGCTGCCCTGTGCTGCAGCCCTGGCTGGGAGAGAGCCCGTGCCCCCTCCCACATCCTTCTGTCTGTGCTCTGTCTGTGCCTACGCCCTCATCCCCCCCCCCCCCCAAGCCTTCCCTGCAGGGGGATTTGGTGATGCTGGAGTGGCATGCTCATGGCACTGCTCATGCAGACAGTCCTGCCACCCCTCACCCTCAGCGATGGGAAGCCCTGCCTGGGCTGCTTCTATTTCCTGGGGTTATCCCTCCATCAGGGTGCAGTGAATCCTGCACAGGAGCTGAGTTTTTCTTGGTTTGGGCAATCACAGCTGTCGAACAGTGCACAACTGCAGCTGTCATCCACCTTGTATGGGGGGTGCACAGCTTTGGTGACTAAGTCAAGCCCTTGTGCCAGTCTGAGCTCTCCTCTCTCCCTCCAGGTGCTCCCCGGAGTTTCTCTGCCCGTATTCTTGGCATGGTGTGGGCTGGCTTTGCTATGATTATTGTGGCTTCCTACACTGCCAACCTGGCTGCTTTCCTGGTGTTGGACCGACCTGAGGAGAGAATTACAGGCATCAACGACCCCCGGGTAATGACCCCTTGCTTCATTTCCCCTTCTCTGCCCACCTCTGGGAAGAGACACAGATGAATGCAGTGGGCACCTCTTGGTCCCTGTAATGTGGCTGGCAGCACCCGGGGCCTGCTTAACGTGGCTGTGGGGCCGTGCCCGGGGCCGTGCCCGGGGCTGTGCCTGGGGCTGAGCCCCTGCGGTGTGTGGGGATGGGCAGACACAGGCAGGGATCAGCAGGGAAAAACATTGTCCAGAAACAGCACGAGCCCAGCCAAACTGCCTGGCAGTTCCTGGAGAGCCTACACTAAACAACGAGGAAACGATTCATTATGGATGAGTTATAGCTAATGAAAATGTCCCTGCGGTGCAGTCAATACTCTCAGCAGATACCGGCATGCTTCATACCCATTTCCTACTCTGGCAAGGACACAGCCACAGCCTATCAATCTGGGAAGCAGGAAGGCACCCCACAGAAGTGCCAGCCCACAGCATCCCATGCCCCACTGCATCCTCTGCCCACAGCACTGTCAGCCCCATGGCATCTGCGAGCCTCCTGCATCTTCAGCACTGTGATGTCCCTGTCCCATAGCATCCCCTGCCCATCACTGTGGGCTCAGAGCATCCCTAGCTCCACAACATCCTGAGCCCTACAGCATCCACTGCCCCATGGCACCTTCAGCTCCACTGAGGAGATCAAGGTGTTATCTGAGAAACAGGTCCCTGAAGAGGATAGAAAATCAGGAAACACAGCTCTGGGGGTGAGCTGGTTTGGTTGATGTAGGACAGAAGAAATAGAAGCCCTGCCCTTGCCTTTCAGCTGCGCAACCCCTCCGATAAGTTCATTTATGCCACGGTGAAGCAGAGCTCGGTGGACATCTACTTCCGACGGCAGGTGGAGCTGAGCACCATGTACCGGCACATGGAGAAGCACAATTACGAGAGCGCTGCCGAAGCCATCCAGGCTGTGCGGGACAAGTGAGTGGGACCAGCTCCCTGCCTGGCCATGCTGGGGTGGGCCTGGGGGGGCAGGGGCCTGGGGAAGTGAGCACAAGCCCCAGGGGAGCTGCTGCTGAAGCACGGCTGGGTGGGAGCTGCACAGACCCAGCATGTGCCAGGTCTCTGGGTGGAGGGCACAAGGACTGTGTGGGACAGGTGTGTTCAATGCCCTGTCCCTGTCTTCCCTTTCTGGCCTCTGTGCCAGACTGGGTGGCTTCAAACTTCATTTCAACCCCTCATGCTCCTCAGAAATATTTCCTATCCTTTGCCAGGAGTAGGATGCTGATCCCCATGCACAGGGCTTGAGTTAGGGCCCCCTTGGGAGCCCCCTTGCTGCTCCTGCAGTAGCTGCAGACAAGGTGGGCTGCCCACCCTTACCTGTGTCACACCTCTCTTGGTTTCCAGCAAGCTCCATGCCTTCATCTGGGACTCGGCGGTGCTGGAGTTCGAAGCCTCCCAGAAGTGCGACCTGGTGACGACAGGGGAGCTTTTCTTCCGCTCCGGCTTTGGGATTGGGATGCGCAAGGACAGCCCGTGGAAGCAGAATGTCTCCCTGGCCATCCTCAAGTCCGTACACGGCTCTCAGCCCCCAAACCCTGCATGTGCTAGCACGCAAGTAGCCCCACACCAGGCAGTGCCACCCCCCTCTGTGAGGACACCTCCCTGTGAGCTCAGCCAGGCCAACAGCACCGTGCTGCCTGGCTCCATCTCCCCAGGGTTATTCTCTCCGCTCTATTCCTGTTAGGCAGAGATGCTTTGGGTCCCCTCCCAACTCCAAGCAAGGCTTTTATATCAGCATTAGCCTGCAGTATGGAGTGCCACAAAGCATCTGGTATCACAGATAAAAAGGGATTTCTCTGTGTTGGTTTGGAAATGCCATGTTCATTGTGGAGAGTGGAATGCGGTGATGGAGGAAAGGCAGCTGGGAACCAGCTGTGGAGGGAGGGGAAGAAGCAAGATTAATTGTAGAGGGTCAGGAGCTAGCAGGGTACTGGCCAAAAACCACCCGCAGGAACCCAGGGTAACCTAGGGAGGCCCTGGACCCCACCTTTGGGGCAGCTGTGCCAAAGAGCTGGGTGGCAGTAGGATGGGTGGGATTTGGGGCTGCAGAGCCTGGAGAGGCACTAGGAGCCCTTGGGGCCCTTCTGGGAGAAGACGGAGAGGCCCAGGGCTGCAGGTGGCCCAGGACGGCAGTGAGCTGTGGGGATGTGCCAGGAACAGGAGGCAGGGATGTGCAGGGGCCCCGTGGTGGATGTGTGCCCTGTGCCCATCCCCATCCCTGCGCTGTAACACTGGGTGGGTCCAGCCCTCGCAGCAGCGACCTGGCACCAAAGCTGTACATGCACACACGTGTGCACACACACGCACCCTGCCAGGCATACACGTACCAGTGCACACACACACACAGCACCCATAGACATGCCCATAGGCTGCGGCCAAGGGCAGAGCCCAAGGACAGTGGGTTGCAGAGAACACGAAACCAGCCCCTGTGTCCCAGATACCTGCACCTGGTCTCCGGTGACCGTCCTGTCTCCTTGTGCTTTCAGGTCCCATGAGAACGGCTTCATGGAGGATTTGGACAAGACTTGGGTGAGGTATCAGGAGTGTGATTCCCGTAGCAATGCCCCAGCAACACTCACCTTTGAAAATATGGCAGGTTTGTTCTGCAAACCTCTTTCTTCCTCTTCGCTGGGTAGCCTGCTTTCGCTCAAGACATTCTCCTCTCCTGAGCTCTCCTCCCAGGCCAAAGCTCTGCTTCTTCTGGGTTTGTGCTTTCCTAGCGGTGGGAGGCTGCTGTGGTGGGTTCCCACCCCACCTTGTCTGAAACAGCTCCGCGAAGCTTCCTCCACCTTCCCTGGGGTGGCTTCCTCATCGGCGGGGGCAGCTGCCATGCCCATCACTCCTGTCCCTCCACTCTGGCCCAGCCATGGCTGTCAGGGTGCAATTGGTGCAGAGGGAGGGAGGCAGCATCCTAGGAAGGGGCAAGCGGTGCAGGGGTGAGCAGGAACTCTCCTGCAGGAGGGAGCTGGCACAGGGCAGCCCCGAGGAGTGTGTGCTGGACCTGGGCAGGGGAAGAGGGCAGGGGGATGATGACTGATGCAGAATTTTTTTCTCCTTGGCCCCTCTTTGCAAAGACTGATTTCTCCCAGGTGGGTTCTCTTCCCCCAGTCAGTGTGGCAACACGGGGTTAGTGGTGTCTGAGGGGACCCCACACATGCTTGCATCAGCAAGAATGAGGTGGAGCCTTTTGCTCCATTCCCTGGGATGCAGGGCACTGTGCCACTTCCCCATCCCCAAGTACCAGCCCCCAGGGTCACAGCCAGCTGAGGACAGCATAAAGAGCTCAGCACATGGTGTGCTTCCCCATGCACCAAACAGCAGCACCAGAGCTGGGTCTTTCTGCTGCAAACAGCCCTGGGAACAGGGTCTGCCCCGGTGTGTGGTGCAGCACCCAGCACCCCTGCTGGGCATCCCTGCCCTGAGCATCCCTGCAGGAGCACTGGTGCCCAGCCAAGAGGAGCTCACACAGATGCTCCGAACCTACCACCTCCCTGCCTGTCACCATGGGTGCCCCTCTGGGACTGTGGGGGGTGGCAGGGGCCGGGGGGCCGGGGTTGGCCAATGCTGCTGGTGCTGAGCGTGATGCAGAGGAAATGAAGTGTCATGGTGCGATTCCCACTGCCCCCTGTAACTTTCCTGCTTATTTCAGGTGTGTTTATGCTGGTGGCTGGAGGTATTGTTGCCGGGATATTTTTAATATTCATAGAAATAGCTTACAAAAGGCATAAGGACGCGCGGAGGAAGCAGATGCAGCTGGCGTTTGCGGCCGTTAATGTGTGGAGGAAAAACCTGCAGGTAGGACAAACCGTTTTTAGAGCAAATCTCCAACAGGTGCGTTTTCCATTCCTTCACCAAATCAGTGAATGCAGAGCTGTGGACTAGCATGGGCCCCCCTGTCCCCCGCCCCGCACCCAGTGACTCTACCAGGTGTCACAGCACTGCTAGTGAGCTGTAGGGCCCTGCTTATCCACAGGGCCACCCCCGGCCATTGCCACCTCCCATGGGAGGTGGCAAACCCAACTCTGTCCTGGAGAGAGACCTGGCTTAAATGCCTTGGTTTGTCCTTGGTGGTGCTGGGGACAGGGACCTTGCTCTGCTGGGGACCATGTGCCAGAGCCACATCTTGTCACAGCTGAACCAGCAGTGCCAGCAGCAACTTTTGTAGGCTCTCTGATCTGCTCCAGCCACGCTCACCAGCAGAGGAGGGGAGGGTTCACGTGCAGCCACCAAGCATCCCTGCCCCGTGGTCCTGACCGTCCCTGCCCCGTGGTCCTGACCATCCTTGCCCCGTGGTCCTGAGCAGCCCTGCCCCCATGGTCCTGAGCATCCCTGCCCTGAAGCCCCCCAGCATCCCTGCCTTGGGTCCCCAAGCACCCCTGCCCTGCAGTCCTGTGAAGAATTGCTCCGGGTTTCTCAATGGTTTCCAGTGCCTGCCCCTCCTGTCCCCCTCCCGGGACTGTGGTTCTCCTGCTGCACCCCAGCCAGTTCCATAAGTGCTTTTGTCACTTGGGGATAAGGACATCTCCCCCCAGCATCTCCCATCCCTGAAGCACCCGGGTGAGGGGAGCCCGGGGGGGCGGTGGTACCTGATGGTGACACAGCCCCAGGCACGTCCCCAAGCCTCCCCCCACCCTCGCCGCGCTGCGCCCCCCCAGCTCAGGGACCGCCTGGGTGCTCTCTGCAAACCATCCGGGCTGCGTCCCACCCTTGGGGAAGCAAACCGGCACTCAGAGAGCCAGGCATCCGTCAGGGGACTCAGGGATGCCGCCGCTTGCAGGGCCACTGCCCAAGGGATAGAGCCCCCCCGACGGCTGGCCGAGCGCAGTGCGGGGTCCCCGCGGAGCAGCGGGGGTGTGGGGGGTGCTTGGGGGACACCACCTTCCCGAGAGCAGCGAGGGGAACACAAGGCCGGGCTGCTACATCCTGAGAGCTCGCTGGGTTCAGTTCACTGATACGAGTTTCGGAAAAGCCATTTCTTCTTTTTTATTATTATTATTTATTATTATTATTTTTTCCTTTGCTTCCAAAAAGCAGCAGCACCGACGGGGTTAAGGCTGCTGGGACAGAGCACACTAGTCGCACTGCCATTTTTCACTTGCCAACCTTCTAGAAAATACTGCACTGGGTCCTTGGGCAGAGTCTGTGGGACTGTGAGCAAAGCATGCTGCCCTGTGGGGATAAACAGCCTCATGGTAAAGAGCCGTTTGACATTGTAAGACTTTTCCACAGGAGGAAACGTCAGAGCACTAGTATCTGGTACATTGCTAGAAGGTAGGCAAGTGGAAAGATTTATTTGTTAAAACAAACAAACAAAAATAATGTTTTTTGGGATCACAGTTTTGCCATGGCTATTTCCTGAGATGCCATGGAAGAAAAAGACATTTCATTCCATTCATCTTGCTTTCCTTTCCGTTTGTGCATGTCCGCAAAAGAGAGAACTGAGAAGGAGGAGCAAATGTATCCCCGAGCATGCTCTACGCACCAGCGGGATACATTTTGGTTACCCCCGTGCGGTAGCAGAGCCAGACCTGGTCACTCCGTCCCCCGTCGGCAAGGTCACACTCATTGGCACGAAAGCAATTGGGGAGGAATCGTTGTCAGCGCCCGCCGCCGAGCGCGGCCGGTCCCCACGGCTCGCTGCCCCCGCACCGTGGCGGCTGGTGCTCCCAGCCTGCGCCAACCAGGTCCGACTCGCTAACACCAATGGCTACATTTTTCAGTTCTGTTTCTCTTTGAGTTCATCCTGACCCTGATGACATCATAGCGCTAACGCTTTGCTTCCTCCCTTTCTTTTCCTTTTCTTTTTGTTTTGTTTTCTTTTATTTCCTTTTATTTTTTTCTTCCAGTTTCCTTTTTTTCTTAAAAAAAAAAAAAAAAAAAAAAAAACGGTTTTACTTTGGAAAAAAAAAAACAAACAACAACAACAAACAACAAAACACCACAAACACCAACAACCACGTTCGGCTTTGCACAAACGCATCATTTAAATTTTGGAATACCTTTTTTATGGAATATTCATACAATGACTTCTCTTTCAATGCAGTCCTCTCTCTCTCTTGTGGCACTAGGATTCAGCCTCAGAAAAGGCCCTGAGCAATTTTTTTTTTAGTGGTAGGTGCAGCATCTCACCTCTCGGTCTAGGCAGGCTGGCGGTGGAAGCAAGGGACAGGGACAGGCAGAGCACCCCCAGGTGCTCCTGAGGAAGCAAGGTCAGCGCTGCAGGCTGCCGGCAGACACCCAGGAGACGCAGGGCTGCTCCCCAGAGGGGTTCCAGCGCTCCCGACGCGAGGCCGGCCCCGTAGCCATAGCAGTGTGGAGGCCGCGCTGTGCCTGTGGGGCACAGAGGCCCTTGGAGGACTGGGAGTGACATCTCCAGTAGCTTTCTCACCCAAATGAAGGACATGACACGGGGCAGTATTCAAGTAGATTTAGCGTTTCCAACAGCACACTAGAGATCTAATCGCTTATACATATTCATTTTAGGATAGAAAAAGTGGTAGAGCAGAACCTGACCCTAAAAAGAAAGCCACTTTTAGGTCCATCACCTCCACCCTGGCCTCCAGCTTCAAGAGACGTAGGTCCTCCAAGGATACGGTAAGAGGAAGAAGAACAATTCTGCCCTCTCTCTTTCTCTCTCTTTCTCTCTTCTGCCATCCCATCGACTGCCACACACCCATCCCGAAGCTGCCAGTGTACATGCATAGCTCATGTTCGTCACCAGTCAGTGAGTCAGTCAGTCAGTCATCCCGTGTTCCTGAAAGGATGCTGGGATCCTGGAGGGCAGGCAGGAGGTGCTTTGGAGTCCTGTGATGAGTTGGGAGATGCAACCGAGTTTTTGTTTTGTTTCCGTTTTCTTTTTGCCTGGATGATTTCTGATGTTCCTCTCTGTGCTTTGCTCACCGTACCGGTGCTGACCTCTTGAAACTGATGACATTTTTATTTTCTTTTTCTGTTCCTGAGTGTTCCTGTACCTGTTTGTCATTGTATGCCTAAAAACAATCACCCCGATTTAATTTGGGCACTGTCTCACCTCACCAAGAGCCATATGTGTCACATTCTCTACATGTGATTTTTGTTTGTGACTTAGCATTCGGGACGTAGCCCTCGGCACAGGAGGGACAGCTCTCTCTGGTTATCGTCAGCAGCGAAGCCTCTCTAGAAAAGAGGCACCATGGCTTGAAAGAGGAGGTTGTTAAAGACCCGGCCTGCTTCAAACCTGGGTTTTCCACCTCGCAGTATCGCTGCTCACATGTAACCAGAGAACGTTTCCAAATAGCTGCCTCTACAGCCAGCTGTTTCCCCATGTGCAAACGTGTCTGCTCGTGCTGGAGCTTCGGACACGCCAGCGTCAGGGTGGGCTGTTGGTCTGTCGGACTGAGCTGGTGTCCCTCTGCATGTTGCCGTCTGTCGTACGACACTCTGCACTGTGGCTACTCTGTTGTCTCGTGTGGACGCGGGCGCTGCGCTGCCCGAACCTCTTGCAGCGGGCTCCCCGCCGCAGGCGCGATGCACGGCGGGGACGGGGAGACGCGGCGGGGCGGCCCGTCCCTGGCTGCAGGACCGCGGGGGGGAGCGGCGTGCGATGTCGCAGGGGGTCTCCAGCCACAGCTCTGTGTGGAGGCAGCTGCGTTTGGCACCAGGGCAGGCTCCAACCCCAGCACCCCTGGGATGCGGCCCCAGGGACAGCTGAGCCCTCCACCGGGCCCAGCTGCCGCCATCTCGCACAAAGTGCTTCACCGGCTGTCAAGGGTTTTCCCACATTCTCCTTGCTTGTCCCTGTGCCCACTGGGGAGGACAAGCATCCCTGTCACCTCCCGCACTGCCCCCGAACCACCTTGTCCTGGTTGTGCCCCAACATCAAGGATGCCCCCACCCCGCTGCCCCAGGGACCAGACCTCTGAGCTTGAGGGAGGCTCGGAGGAGGGTCTGTGTGGCCAGACCCCAACCAGGGGAGAGGAGGAGAGGTGGAGTAGATGGGGTGGTGAGGAGAAAGTGGGGAGTGAGAAGAACCATGGCAAGGAGGGACTGGTGGGGAGAAAAATCTGCAGGGAGAGCTGTCGAGGGAACCCTCAGCCTGGCTGGAGTAGACCCTGTGTTTTTGTCTCCAAAATTTAGCAAACCAAGGGAAGCTGGCCTAGGAGAGTAGGAGCATCACAGCGAAGTGGGCACCAGAGAAGACACATGCCTACCACAGGCACGTGAGCAGTGCCAGGAGAGGGGACCCCAAGGCTATTGCCATGCCCTCTCCTGGGTGCCTGCTCACTCCCCCAGGAGCAATGGGGCACCCCAGAACCACCTCCAACACCCTGCTCCCTCCCCAGGGATGCATCCTGGGTCTGATCCTGCTTCATGGTGCGGCATCCATGACCTCACGCCACCCCACCGCCCAGGGCTAGGAGCTGGCCAGGTCCAGGGACCATCTACACCAGAGGCTCCAGAAGATGGCATCCCACTCTGGCGGCAGCTGCAGCTGTGGGGCAGCTATGGGCAATGATGCCCCACTGTCTAGGAGTCTGTTGCAGTCTTCTGCATGCCATGGGGTGGCATGGCTGGCCCCAGCATGTGTTCTGAAGGGGGGACAGGCTAGTTGGGCCAAGAACAGGCCAGCAGGACCAAGATCCAAGCCAACGGGGCCAAGACTGAGGCTAGCAGGTCCAAGACCTGCCTATTGCAGAAGGCCCACAGTGGAGCAAGCTTTGTGGCGATGTTGGGCAGGCCCGCTGGTTGCTCCATGGGGTGAGCGACCAACGGGAGGGTGCTGTTACCAGTTCACATCACAGCCTGCCTTTTGGTGCCCCCAGCTTCAATGCAGCAGCCCTGGCTCAGAGACCCCAATGCCCTCCTGCTGTAGAAGGCCCCATGAGTACATAGCATGCGGGGACACGTTGCCTGGGGTCCTTGTAAAGGCGAGAAAGCAGTGAGGTGCTCTGTTTTGTGATGCTTGGCAGAGCCGCAGGCCCACACCAGGTCTCAGTTGGGCAAGGCTTGAGAGCCCATGGGGCTGGAAGGCCAGGCTGACCCCGGCCCCATGGGCTCTCCTGGCTAGCAAGCAAAAGATACAAACCTGGTGGCCTTGCTTCTTCCCTTTTCGTTGTCGGGAGTTTTAAAAATGGATTCTGCTCTGCAGCCCTGCAGAATGGTCCCTCAGGAGTGCCAGAGAGACAGGCTGGCACCATGGAGCCAAGACAGCCCTGGGAAGCTGCCACCCCACTCTGAACGTCCTAGCGCCCACCATCACCCGAGCTGCACAGCCTCTCCGCGGCACATCATCCCCACCGCCCCAGGAGGAGATGCATGTGTTCCCCATAGGCAGCTCCTGCAACTCGAATAGCACTCGCAGAGCTGACGTACTGCCATCCATCGCAGCCACCCACGCTACTGCAACCCCACAGAAGCCATGTGAGACGCATAAACCACACAGACACCTTCCGAGCCGGCACATTTCGTACAGACACGTAACGAGACGCACAGATCCCTTAGCCCCCACTGCAGATGTCATCAGCCCCCGCAGCCCCACTGCCAGCCCGCGGGCCCCCAGACACAGCACGACACACGTCCCACGTCACCGCCAAGCGAGGGCCCCGCCAGCATGGGGACGATGCCAGAGCTGGTCGAGAATCGAGGGGGTTCATGGAAAAGGTCACCTTTTCAGTGAAAGATCAGCCATTCCAAAACCAAGTGCTTTTTGGCTGAAAAAGAACCTAGTTTTTGGCCCCAAACGAACAAATGTAGGCCAAAGACAACAATATTTTTTTTTTAAAGGAAAGTTGACATTTTCTACAGCAAGATTGCATTTAGCTGGAATCCTAATACTTAACTGAACAAAAAAAAAAAAAAAAAAAAAAAAAAAAAAAGAAACCCAAAATTCTTCCAGAAAATCTTCCACCAGCCAGGGACTACAATATGAGCCCAGATTAGGTTGAAGTCATTTTTAAAGACATATTAAGTTCTTGTCTATATTTTCTTCCTGGTGTCATTTAAAGTTTTTGGTGCCTTCACTTCACTTCCATACCTTAACATGTTTGAGTCTCTTCTACGGTTAATATTGATTAATTTCTTGGCTTTATAATGTTTGGTTTGGGGATAATTGCACCATCCCTGTAACATCATTTACCCTAAAGTACTGATATGTGCTTCTAGCATTAGTTCTACTTTAACATAGTTTTGATATGACAGTTTTCTTGTTTTTTTTTTCTTCCTTTTTTTTTTTCCTTTTTTTAATATTAAAAACTGCATGCATGAACTCTACACAAAAAAAAAAAAAAAAAAGTAAACGCGAATGTTACCCTGTGATAACTCTGTGATTGGAGGAGATATGCTTTCAAACCCAAAGCCATGCTCTTGTATTGCAATTTTCCTGGCCAGCCCCCCCCAGATCACTTGGTGGTGTCAATGTCTCCCAAAGCTGTGCAGAGAGGCCAGAGCACCCCCGCCCCCCTGTCAGACCTCCCCCTGCCACCCCACAGCCACGTGTACTGAGACACATGCACCCACATGCACACACGGCTTTTTTCCTGGTTGCGTCAGGCCGGTAGCACAGGGTATTTAACAAAGGACCTTTTCTTCTGCCCATATGTGGGGTTTTTTTGTTACTTTTTTTTTTTTTTTTCATTTTTTCTCTGGAGCTCGTCCTTCAGCAGAGGCTGGCACCATCTCCTCTGGGTACCTGCCCAGCCTCTTCCCTCTCCAAGTCATCTCCTCCCCATGGGGCTCCAGCCCCATCCCATGAGCTTCACTGTGGCAGCTGAGATTTTGGCAAAGAGGGGCGGCTGCACCCCTGTAGGAAGAGGCATGCTTTTAGTGGACCAGCAAAATGCCAGAAAAAGCTCCCCAGGGTGACAGAGCAATTTGTCTGACCAAAATCACCTGGAGATGGCCAAGGTGTTGCCACTCAGCGAAGCAATGAGGAATTTCATATCGGCTCCATTTTGATAGTAGTTGGTCCCCTACACGAATGAGCAATCCCAAGAGGTGTTCCTTCAGTGGCAGTGTGTCTTCACCACGTGCACTGCAGGGATGGGACTGTGCTGGCTCCAGCCCCTGCCCCAGCAGCTCCCTGTTAAGGTGCTGGGGTCATTGTGAAGCAAAAAACCATGCAGATGAGCCCCGAGGAGCCCACGCCATGCTTCGGGGGCCACTAGACCTCCCTGCACAGGCTGTAAGGCCACACAGGGTAGCCACAGTGCTAGAGCCACCAGCAGCAGTGCAAGGGCCACAGTTGCCACCAGGAAGCAGAGGATGGGTTAAATCCTGTGAAATCCTAAAAACCAAGGAGTCTCTGGAAACCCAGCAAACCAGCAGCCCTCCTAGGTGCACGGCCAAGTCAATATAGAGGAGAGGGTCCATGCAGCAGCAGGAGACACACCGAGTCCTCCTGCCCAAGTTAGATTCCCAAAGTGGTGGCAGATGCATTTGTGTCACCCATTTAGGGCTTGGAGCTAGGAGAGGGAGAGGAAGGACATATGGAAGAAGATAGGGAGGAAATAACTGCCCAGCTATAAGCCCCTGCCTGAGGAGGAGGGGCTTTTTTTTTTTCCTTTTTTTTTTTTTTTTTCTATTTTCTCTTTTTTTTTTTTTCCTTTTTTTTTTTTTTTTTTTTTTTCTGGATGGTTGAGGGGTTTTTCTGCTCTCCCTGCTTGCTTGCTGGTGGGACCGCTGCTGGGGAGGTCTTTCCCGGGGGTGTTGGCCGGGCCCCACTGCGAGGAGCACAGAACCCCACATCCAGGCCACGTCTCCAGCACAGGCTGCATTCTCACATTAGCTAGCGATGCTACAGCTAGTCACAAATCACCCGCACGGCACAGCTCCTCACCTGCATAGAAGGATAGTGAGAGCAGGGGCACTCGAGCAAGGAGGTGCAACACCCTGGCCTCCAAGCACAGCTTGAGCTGGCACCAGGCGTGGCTGTGGGCTAGGCTGGGGGTTCACTGCTTTTCTCCTGTAGCTGTCCCCATGTAGGGACAGGATGGCTCCGCAGGCGACACGGCCGCCGTGCACTGCGCCCTGCTCCTGGGTGTCCTTCCCATAGGCCACAGGGTGCTTGGAGAGCGTCTGCAAGGACCTCTGCACGAGCCCACACTGGGCAGGGGGCCTCAGCCAGCACCAGGTCTGGAGCCATTGCATCCACCCCAGAGACATCCCGTAGGGACACAGGGGGTGCAAGGAGGCGTGGGGGCGAGTGCCATGACTGCCTAACACTTCTCTCTCCTTGTCTGTGTATTTGTGTGTTACAGCAATACCATCCCACCGACATCACCGGCCAGCTCAACCTCTCCGACCCCTCCGTCAGCACTGTGGTGTGACCTGCTCCCCGGGGGCCATCAGCCCTTGCCCGACACAGTGGAAAGGCACAGCCAGGACTGCCTGTCAAGGGACACTGATGGGTTCTTCTGGGTGAGACGGGAGGAAAGCATCCTTCATCCATACACAGTGACTTCATTGTATATCTCCCTCCCTCCCTAGGCCTGCTGCCATACTCACGCCCCAAAATGCACGGCAGAACCAGGACAGGGTTTGGACTTCTCTGTACAGAGATAATCGTTTCCAACCAGTGCTGTTGTTGATCAGTATTGCCACTGGCCAGCTACGTGCAAGGGGAAAGGACTTCAAAGGCACATGGTGCCTGCTCTCCCATGGTAGCAGGGAAAAGCTGGTGCCAGACTGCAAACCCGTGCTTCACCTCACTGGCTGAGTGTTCTCTGCAGGTGCATAGCTCTCGGAGCACCCAGAGCTGTGCTGGTGGAGCAGCCCATGTAGTTCGGCAGCCCAGGGACGTGCTTCTGCCGTGCCATGCTCCACCACCACCACAGCAGGGCTGGGAGACGTGCGCTGTGCTCCTAGCCAAGGGATGAGCCCCCCAGTCCTCCCCTCCATCAGCCCCTGCTCAAAGCCTATGGTACAACTGAACGTGGTGCTCTGGAGCTCACAGCACGCTGCCATACAAGATCCTGGCTCCCCACATCTCTGCACACCAGCCATCCCCACGGCCTGGCCACAGCCAGCACGTAGCTCCCACACTACAGCCATCCTGGCCAGGAGACACGGCAAAACAGGTCCTGGCTCGGGAGGAGGTGACCAAACAAGACTGCCTGGAGCCCTCCTCCTGTGGGCACTGTGCCCACGTGCCAGCCCCCCAATCTCCCTCCAGGCAGGCACCAAGAGTGGCTGTGGACACCCCAGAGCTGGGGAGCAGAAATCCCACCTGCGATTTGGTACCAAGCCCCAGCGTCGAGAACCACCTTCTCCTTGCTGCAGCCAAGCAGATGGGGCAGATGGGGCCAGCAGGATTTTTGGAGGGCAGCTGGGGTCTGTGAGCATCGTCCCACTGGCTGCAGTGGTTCCATCAAGTTCATCTTGCTCCAGCTGAGAAATTGAGTTCATTCGACTTTATACGTCAGTGTAACATTAATACCAAGTTTTTGCAAGAGCTCAGTAAAGTCTAGACTGGATCACGGGCTGGTTTTATTGCCTCTGTCTGTCTCTGCCTGCCGGCGGAGCTGGCTGGGAGCCCTGTGCTGAATCAGGGCCTCACCCAGCATTGCTGCAGGGCGCGCGAGCAGAAAAGGTGGAGGGATGGGGAGGGACGGAGCAGGGGGGACAGGAGCTGCAGGGAGGACTGGAACAGGGTGTTGCTATTCGGGGCTGGCCAGCATGGGGCCAGACCTGGGCTGAAACCACCTAAATGCCAGCCCCTTGCAGCCTGGTTCTCACCCTCTGTCCAGAGGAAAACTGGGGTGAGGCCGCTGAGGACATGTTTCCCTGGCCACCCCTGGGTGGTGGCAGCAGCCATCTCCTCGCTGTGTCACCGGCTCCTGCAGGACCCCCCTTGCTCCCACGTGCTCCGAGTGATGGGCACAGCAGCATCCCCAGTGCCCGTCCCCATCCCCTCCAAGGCTTTTTCTTTGTGATGCCCAGTCTGTGGCCACGATGGCTTCTTCAGCTTGGAGCCCTCGGGCAGGACGACTGTCCCCCTGGGAGGAGCAGGCAGGGGCAGCAGGGCTCAGGGGATGACGGAGGATGACAGGCAAGGCCCTGGCTCCACATGGGAAGCCCAGGCCTTCTTGAGCAGGCCCACATGCACACTGGGCTGTTCTCTGTCTTGGAAATAAAGATGAGAGCAAGTCACAACATTTGATTTATTCTCTTATTTAACCTCCACTGAGAGCTTGCCAACAGACACATTGACCACATCTCTGGCCTGTACCACAGCTCTTGCACGGGCATGAGATCATTTCTATGCCACAGGAGCTAACAGGGGGAGGTTGACACTCATGGCTGTCTCATTATGGCTCTTATTGCCTTGTGGTGGGTAGGAACTTGTGCCAGAAGGGACTGTTGGGGGTTGACCTCTTCACCCAGCTTGTACTTTCCTTTGCTGCATGGAAGCTCTGGAGTTCCCTCAAAGCACCCAGAGATCCTCAATTGCACAAACAGACCTATGAAGAGCTTTGTGACACAACAAAAAGCCTTCTGGAGACACAGAAAAGGCACTGAGAGGCTTTGGGGCACCAGAAGGCACCCAAAGACTCATGGGGTTCACCAAAAGGCACAGGGAGGTAAACGGTGCACCCTGAAATGCACACAAGAGCCCTGGGGAGCAAAGGGGCAGGAGAGGGTGAGCCAGAGGAAAAGGATCAGCAGCCCCCCTGGGAAGGGGCTGTGCAGGTCTGGGGGCGACCTGAGGGAGCCTCCTGAGGCAGGGAGCGGTGCTGCAATGGGGCTGAACTGGAGGCAGTGGGGCAGAGCTCAGGGATTCCTCAGGGCCCCAGGGAGGAGCAGGAGCACTCTGCAGGAGCAGAGCATCCGCCCACTGCTCCGCAGGGAAACCTTCACAATAGCTGGGTGCAGGCCCTGCCCAGGGCTGGTGGTCCTGCTCAGTGCCCCCTGCAGAGAAGGGGTCTCCTACAGAAGCGGGGTTCCTTGCGCAGGTGCTGGTAAATGACCACGATGAAGCCCATCAGGGTGCAGAAGATGATGCTGGCCAGGAAGGAGGACAGCCCGAGGAGCAGGAAGGTGGCATAACGCTGGGCAGACAGTGGGGTCTCCTGGCACTGCCTGAAGGACTCATTCCTGAAGGCCATGATCGGGTATGTGCTCAGCTGCTCCGGGAACACACACTGGAGTGAACTCTCCTCTGGAAGAGAAAAGCGGCGGTGGTGGGCACAGGGGGCAGCTGGGTGCCAGGGACAGGAGGACATGGGGCAGGTCTGTGGGGGACAGAGCAGGCCAGGGCAGGAGGACAGGGACTGTGGCGCCACGTTGGCCAAGATAGCCCAGGGCAGGGCACAAAGGGCACAGTGAGGGTCTAGCACTCACGTATGTCCTGCGCCTTGGGGAGTGGGATGGGACAGGGAGGTGGACGCAGTGCTGGGCAGGACATGATGGGGCAGGAGAGGAAGGGGCAGGCAAGGCAGTGGGGCTGGCTCCCTGGGGACAGGCATGGGCAGCAGTGAGAAGCCAGCCTGGAGATGCCACAGAAAGCCCTCCCAGTGCAGGCAAGAGGCACGGGAGTGGGTGGTAGCAGAGGGAGTGACCCCCGCTGGCAGAACTGCTTCTCACCAAGGCTCACAGAGGAAGAAATGCAGGATCAGACCCATTCTCCTGATGGCACTGGGGAAGGGGCTGGAGGAACTGAGTCCTGGCCAAGTCAGGGGTGATGCCCACCCCTCAGGTGCCCATTGCCCGTCACCCCTCGCCCTCCCTGCGGCAGGACTGGTGCCTCTGCTGGGGACAGCGCTGTGTGCCGTTACCCAGTCTGCCTCTGCAGGAAATCCCTGCTGGTGACCAGAAACCAGCCACCAGCCACTGGAGGGTGGCACCAGGGACCAGACCCAGGGACAAATCCACCCAAGTGGGGCTGGCTTCTGGGAAACCTTGCTGCACCCACAGGGACCCCATCCCCACAGACCCATGGCCTGGCGGCAGTTGGGGATGATGAGCGAGGATGGAGCAGGTGGGGGCTCGGAGCACTCACCTGGCACTTTGTCCCTGTTGTGACCAAGCCAGCGCCAGAGGGGCAGGATGCTGCAGGAGCACACCCAAGGGTTCCCATGCAGGAAGAGCTCTTGGAGCTGGGGCAAGGCACTCAGCACCCCAGTCCCCAGCTCCTCCAGCCTGTTGTTGCCCAGGTTGAGCGTGGCCAGGCTGCCGAGAGGCAGGAAGCTCTCGGGGCTCAGCGTGGCCAGGTAGTTGTTGCTTAGATCCAGCTCCTGCAGCGCCCCGAGCCCCACCAGCGCCTGCCTGTGGATCATCCCCAGTTGGTTATGGGGCAGGCTGAGCCGCAGCAGCACCGGCAGGGAGGGGAAGGAGCGTGCCCTGAGCACGGCGATGAAGTTGTAGCCAAGCAATAGGGTGCTGGCGTTGGTGGGCAGGCGCGGCGGCACCTCGTGCAGGGCGCGCTGGCGGCAGTCCACGTCCCCTGCCAAGCAGCGGCAGGCGGGGGGGCACGCAGCTGTGGGCAGCGGGCACAGGAGGAGCAGGAGGGTCAGCACGGTGCTGGGGCCCCTCCACACGCCCATGGCTTCCCACCCACGCAGAGAGGGCTCCCTGTCCTCCAGCATCAGGGTTCCCCCGGGGGCAGGGTGCCCAGCACCCCTCGCCTTGCCCAGCTGCTCGATCCTGCCCAGCACCCTTGGGTGCGGTGAGCGGGTGGACACGCACGGCTCCCGGTAGCTCTGTGCATTCCCCGTGTGCTGTGCGGGGTGGAGCTGCACTTCTCTTAGGAAATATTTTTGCAGTGATGCCTGCCCTGGCAAGGTGTGGCTGTGCCCTCATCCCTCCCCCCTCCAGGCATCGCTCCAGCCAGGTAAGCAGCCAGCTCCGTCCAGCCCGCAGTTAGCTGCTTGTGGGCACTGCAGCCTGGGGAGGTGGAAAAAAACAAACACCTCCTGGCCTTCATCCTCCCCACGGGGCAACCTGCCATGCACAGAGGACCCAGGGACGCGTAGCTGGCTGGGATGGGACAAAGCTTCAATCATACTGTTGGCAAGTCTAATGCTGTCCCTGCCATGCCCGGAGGTTCTTGGTGGGGAGCCCTTGGCCAGGCTCTCTTTGCCCCTAGCAGGAGACCACAAGTGAGAAGGGTTGGGATGTGACCCCCACCCAAGAAGGCATGAGGAAGGTAAATGTGCCAGGCTGCTGCCACCTGAAACTTGCTTGCCCTGGTTTTGGCGTGGCAGTGCCGGCACTGGAGGGCTCAAAGTCTGCCTCCTCCCTGTTTACACCTGCTTCTGTTTGAAAGCCCCGCAGCAGGAGCTGCAGAGGGGAGGTGCCAGCCCTCCCCGTCAGGGCTCCAGGGACCCCAGGGGACCAGAGGACCTCATCCCACCCTGCCCAGTGATGGAACAGGGATGCTCTTGTGGCTCCTTTGCCTCTTGGGACTTGGGGCACCCCTGCCCCATGGCAAAGAGGCTGAGAGGCAGCAAAGCAGCGCGTGCCTGTGCCCCCAGCCAGATCCCGGATGTTCCCAGACCCAGGAGCAGGCAGACCGGTTTATTAATAGCCTCCAGAGGAGCTTTGGTTTGTTTATCTACCCTGCGGCAAACTCACTTTGCTGCATTAATCCCCATCTGGAAATAATTCAGAGGAATCCTCCAGTCCAGCCCAGCCCCACAGGGCTGTGCAGCTCCGGCTCACCCGCAGCACCCCAGGCTGTGTGGGGACACAAATTCTCAGGGTCCCAGTGCACTCAGAGGTACTTTGTCCACTGTCATTTTTGTCATTTTTGAAGTGCAAAAATTGCCAAGGAAAAAAAAAATGCTGTGAAAAACAAGGTCATTCACAGATTTTGTGCTCAGAGAGCCCAGGAGGCTGTGAAGCAACCCAGCACCTTTCTCTCACTGCCACCCTGCTGCACACCCCACTGGCACATGGCAGAAGAGGGTGGGGGGGTCCTGCAACCCAGCAGGCCCAGTGTCCCCACCACTGTCCCTTCTCTCACCCCTCGAAGCTCTCTGCAGGGTACCAGGCTCCTGGCACCCCCAGCAGCTCAGCCCTTTGAGGGCCTGTCAGTGCCCTCTTCTCTGGGCAGGGGACACAGCACCTGCAGGTCTCCGTCCCCATGCACTTCTCCCCGTGGCGATACTTCCCCGGAGGAGGTCTGGGGCTCCACAGCCCAGCACAGCCCCAGGGCCAGCACCGGCCCTCAGCATCCCCTGACATGGCAGGGGCTGCCAGAGCAGTCCCCATGGCACGGGCAGGGGGAGGGATTCAGGGTGCCCAGCCATCGTGGTGAGACCATTCCCAAATGCAGAGGCAGAAAAACTCCGGAGCCCAGCCACTGACTGCTCATAGCACAGCTCTCCAGCTTGCTCCTGGCGCTGAAGGGTTCCAGGGTGGTGGCACGGAGACCAGGAGCTGTGGCTGAGGGTGGGGAGCCGTGGGTCCTTGCTGCCTTCCACCACCAAAGAGCTGGAGCCAGGTGCTGGGGTGAGCACAGAGCCTCGCCGGCAGGATCCCAGCAGGATGGGACCCATCTCCTCCTGGGGGCACCAGCACCGGCGTGGTGAGGCTGCAGCTCTTTCAGAAGCAGCACACTCGGTGCCTCCAGGGCTTTGCAATCCCTGCTGGGGACACCTTGCCGGGGGGTGGGCTCAGCTCTCACACAGCCCCTAGCATCATCCTCACCACCGCAGTTCCCTCAGGGTCCCTGTTCCCAGGGATTGTCCCTCACAGGAGCACAGCACAGCCTCTGCTCAGGCAGGTCTCCATGCCCAAACCTGCAACGGGGACGGTGACCCCCTGGGCAGCATGAAGATGGAGGGGAAGGCACCTTAGGACTCCAGGACAGCTTTTATCACATCCTTGAAGATTTTACGTTATTGCATTTTTCCACATAATTAAAGATCCGAGGCTGGCAGGTGCCAGCACCATGGCAGGAAGGAGACCCCACAGCACACCACACTCATGCCAGCCCCCTGGACACCCCTGCCTCTGCCCTGGGGCATCCGTGGAGCCTGCTCTGCCTGGGCACAGCTCAGGGCTCTGACTTTTTTACGGCATGTGACACCAAGTGGCAGAACTGTGAACGGGCACTGTGCACAGCGTGGGCACTGTGCGCGGCAAGGGGACAGCTGAGCACCAGCACACAGGGTCGTGAAATCACCGCGGTGCCTGACACGGGGATGTTGTAAGAGCTCATGAATTGCACGGAAAATGGATGCAGAAACTGGACTCTGAGGAAGGATGGACTCTGCAACCCCTCTCCTCCCAACCCAAGAACTGTATTAACATTACCCTCATGCACCCCTGCCTCCCCCCCCTCTCCATTTTGCCTCTGCTAACCCCATATGGTGCTGGAGTAAAACAGCTGGAGGCCAGATCAATTCAAAGAGCTGGAGCCATGAGCTGTGGTCCCCAGTGACCCTGTCATCCTCAGTTTTAACTATTCACCTGCCCCACAAAGCCCAAATTTCTCATGCAAATGGCAAGTAGAGCAAACACTTAAAGAAAAACAATTGGACAAAGCAGGTCACTTCTCCCTGCTCTGGGGGCAGGGCTTTCCCTGGGCTAGCATGAGGCTGACTTAACAAATACAACCAACAGGTGCAGCACAGCATGTGTTTAATAGATGTGTTGGATACTCCCCAGAGCATCTCTGCATTGCTGCGCTGTGCCAGGCTCCTGCACCCCCTGCCTTGGTGAAGGGGTCCCCATCACATATCTGCATGCACAGGAAAAGCTGGGCACCAGCAAGCCCTGGGTCAGACACCAGAGGACACCCGTGATGGTTGTACCAGGTTTTGGAGTTGTCAGGATGAAGGGTGGAAATATCCTCATCCCCTCCTATTGCACCCTAAATCCCAGCAGGATAGAGAGCAAACCCCGAGATAGCTGAATCCCTTCCTAGGCTACGGGGACAGCCCCACCACTACCGTCCACACATGTGCCTGGGGCATGGCATGGCATGGGGTCCCCAAATCGTGAGACCCTGGGAGCTCAGTATGTGATGCAGGCTGGCTCCACTGAGCCATGCCAAGCCTGCCCACACGCTGCTGTCCCCATGTCCCCCAACTCAGCTCTCAAAATCTGCCGTCACCCCGCAGCAGATGCATGGCCGGCAGCAGCCGCAGCGTGGGAGGGGGGCCTGGGGCACCGCGTCTTGGCACAGCCCCGACGGCTGCTGCGTGATTGCCGGCTCCTTGCACGAGCCCTTGGTGGCCGTGTCTGGCAGGGACCGTCCAGCCACCCGGGGCTGCTCCTTGTCAGCCTTGACGGCGAGGAAGGTGGCCAGGTCGAGGTCGAGCATGGTGACGCCGCCGCGTGGCGTGGGCGTATTTTGGCGGCACTGCGGGCAGGGGATCCAGCGCTGCTCGTTGGCGACGGCGTCCAGGCGCTTGAGGCAGGTCTGGCAGAACGTGTGGCCGCAGTACAGCCGGCGCGGCAGCCGGCTGCACAGGTCGTAGGAGGAGTAGCAGATGATGCACTCGACCCTCTGGCTGCCCCGGCTCGGCGTGCACGAGTTCGCCTCAGTGCGTGGCCCCATGTCCTCGGCCCGGGGGCTGCCACCGACCTGGGACATGCTGGGAGGGGAGGGGAGGGCAGGAGGAGATGTCAGCCCCATGGCTGGGGCAGGGAGCAGGGTGTGGGGTGCCACCTCCATGTGCAAAGTTCAAGGGAGATGGGGACCAGTCACACGCCGTGGGGGCAGTAGTGGGTTGCTGGAGGTATCAGGGTTCCTGCCCAACATCCCTGCCTGCCCTGCAGCCAGCCCTGCCCCTCTGGGGTGAACCCCATCCACGGGGATTCGTTATCCCAGCGCCACCCTACATGGCTCTGCTGAATGCTCCTTCCCTCCCACAGGGGCTGGGGGCGGCCAGGCCTCATTTGCCTGCCCAGGGCTGCGGGGGCTCAGGGCCAGTGGGCATCATGGGGTGGGAAGAAGGGGGGAGCAGCAACCTGAGGGCCAGGCCATGCAACCCTCGTGCCAGCCTTGGGCACCAGCCCGTGGATGTCAGCAGGGGGCAAGCATGCAGGCTGGTGGGAAGGGGTCCAGTATCATCTCAGGGTACCCTCCAGCATGTCTGCAACCCTCTCCAAGGGGCCACCAGGACCCCACACCTTCCCCACTGGTGACCTTGAGCATTTTGGTTGGTGTGGGCACCCACTTCTCCTCCCAACCCTGTTCCCCATCCCTACCTGGGGTGCTGTCCTCCCCAGGACCTCAGGGGAGATGGCAGAGGGGCTGCAGCATCCCAAGGGGCTGTGGCAATCCTGGGAGCAGCATCAGGGTCCCAAGCAGCTCCCTGCCAGGTCCCAGCAGCCGCGGGTGGCTGCGCGGTGGGAAGGGGCTCACCTTTCAGGGGCAGGCATGCTATCGGATCTGCTGCTGGGAAGCCAAGCCTGGGAGATTGAGTTACAAGTGCCTGGATAACAAAGACCTCCGAAATTGAAGCCCTGCCTCCCTCCCTGGGAGTGCTCATTAGCCACCCGCTCTGCCTCATTAGCAGAAGGCTCTGTCCCTGCAAGGTCGGGCGTCACCGTGTGTGGACATCAGCTGTGCCCAGGCAGCAGCGGCGGAGACCTCCCTGTCCTTGGCCACCACGTTTGGGTAGATGTCGGCCAGCAGAAGCCTGACCACTCTGCAGACTCCCTGGGACACGCACAGCCAGCACATCCCCAGGTGGCCCGGGCTGTGGGGACGGCTGTGACCCACGGGTGAGGACACAGCAAGGGTCCAGGCTCGGGGGAGCTGGGGCTGGCAGGGAGGCACCAAGGCTGCAGCCTGTCGCGTGGCTCCGAGGGGGCAGCACCCACGTGTGGGGCGGTGCAGGGGGACGGGGACCCCGCTCTGTGCCTGGGGGTGACAGCAGCGAGAGGGAAACCAGCTGGGGTGTGAGAGGGGCTGGAGCTGGGAGGGGTGGGGGAAAGAGTAGGGCACCCAAGCTGTCCTCGACCTCCAGTGCCTCGCTGACCGTGGGGACGGGGGTGAAGGCAGCACAGCACAGCACAGCACAGCTCTTTGCTGGTGGCAGCAGCTCAGAGGGGCTTGGTGCCTGCAGGCTGACCGGGATCAGGGTGACACTGAGGCTCAGCTTCTCCAAGAAAGCCACCAAATCCATGTCCATGCCCTGTTCCTGCTCTTCCTCCTGGGGCTGCAGAATCTGGCATTGAGGTCCTCGGCTCTGCTGGGGATGATGCTCATCAGCAGGTAACGCTGGGGAGATCCCGGCACCCCCCGGTGACACCCGCAAGGTCTGTGCTGATGCGTGACCCAGGGGTGGCAGCAGGCAGTCCCCGCAGCACCAGCCCCTGCACGACCCTGGGGCCAGCAGCGATGTCACAGCCCCAGCAGGGAGGGTGCTCAGAGCAGGGAAAGAGGCTTTGGGGGGCGAAGCCAGGATCCTGGAGGACGAATGCCTGGGCCGGAGCGCGCAGCACTTCTGCCTGCGGGCAGGAGAGGGCAGCAGGCAGCAGCGCAGGCAGGAGCAGGGTGCCGCACTGTCCCCACGCTGTCCCCACGCTGTCCCCACGCTGCTGGGGCTCCTTGGCAGAAAGAGGCAGGGGTTTGGGGCCGGACACCGAGTGCCTCACCGGGACTCTGCGGAAAAGCTCAACCCTGACCCTGTGCAGGGCAGCAGAGCTGGCAGCACAGCAGCTTCAGGCTCCATCACAAGTGTCCCAGGCAGCGCCCGGCAGGTGGGACCCCACTGCCAGGGACCAGGGGCAGGACATGGGGTGGCACAAGGTACCCAGGAGATCCTGCAGGCCAGCAGCATCTGTCCCCATGTGTGCTGGGGCAGGGCTGGGCACACAGGTGGCACTGTGACTTCCATCCAAGCCCTATGTGTCCAGGGATGTCCACGCATCCCGATGCCTCTGGATGTCCCACATGTCCCAGAGCTGGCAATAAGTCATTCTCCTGTCCAAAGCACCATCATGGCCCAGCTCACTGGCCATGCAGTAATGTGTGCAACCCAACAGGCATCATTTGGGGCATATGAAGTTAAACCCAAAACCACTACACACATGGGGGGGGGCTTGGTTGTGTGCACACCCATGGTACCCATGGCACTGCCTGGTGAGGAGGGGTAGGAAGGGGCAGGGAGCCATGGGCCTGGCACAGGAACCTCCTGAGGTTCCCCAGGGAGAGAGGTGCAGAGTCCTTCCCCCGGGGAGGAACAACCCCAGCCCCAGGACGTGCTGGGGGCACCCAGCTGGAAGCAGCCTGGCCAGAAGGGCCCTGCTGGGCACCAAGCTGACCCTGAGGCAGCAACCGGCCCTCCCTTGGGACAAAGAAGGCAGGGAATGGTGCCCTGGGCTGCATTAGGGAAAATAATACCCGCAGGTGGGGGGAGGTGATCCTTCCCCTCTTTCAGCACTGCTGAGTCCACCCCCTGAGGGCTGGGTCCCACTCAGGACTCCCCAGAATAAGAGACCTGAAGCAAGTCCCCCAAAGGGCTATGGAAATAAGCAAAGACCTGGAGCCCCTCTGCTGTGAGGAGAGGCCGAGAGAGCTGGGACTGCTCAGCCTGGGGAAGGGGAGGCTCAGGGGATATCTCATCAGTGCCTAGAAATGCTTGGAGGGAGGCCGCTCTCATCAGTGGTGCTCAGTGCCAGGACAAGAGGCAGTGGGCACAAACTGGAGCACAGGAGGCTCCCTCTGAGCACCAGGCAGCCCTTCTGTGCTGTGCGGATGGTGGGACACTGTCACAGGCTGCCCGGAGAGGTTGTGGAGTCCCCTCCTTGGAGATCTTCAGGGCCCTTCTGCTGGGCACCCTGCTCCGGGAGGCCCTGCTGGGGCAGGGCTTGGACCAGAGGGACCCAGAGGTGCCTCCAGCCTCAGCCGTGCTGTGATTTTATGAAACCAGGACACATGGGACCAGCAGGCAGGGCTAGATTGGGGTAGCGGAAACCCTTGCATGGCATGGGCACACCAAGTAGCATTGTTGCCTGAAACCTGCTTGGCTCCACCTGCCCTGCAGAAACAGGTGAATCTGGACATAGGGGAAGGCGTAGCTGCAATCAGCAACAACAAGAGGGTGGGAAAAGTGTTTTTCTGTTCCCAGGGCTCGGCTACAACCCTGGGACCTGCAGGAACCTTTGGTACAGCAGGGCAGGGAGAGGCACCATAAGGAGAGTGCAAAGGTCCGGTCCCGATGAGCCAGCGCTGTGCATCACCACCGACACCCCACCCGCAGGAGACAGCAGCCACCCAGCACCGCCCTGCACACAGCCCAGCACCCGGCGCACATGGGCAGTGCCCCTGGGACCCTGCACGAGCATCGCCCAGAGCCCAGCGTGTCCCTTCTGGGGTCTGCCCCCCCTGTGCCCTCCCTTTCTCCCCTGCTCCCCACCAGCCTTGCCGCTGCCTCCGGTTTAATCATTGCCCAGGGGCTGGCAAGGAGCGCTGTTTGCTGCCATCCCAAGGTTATGCGGAGCGAAGGGCGGTGGTGACACCGGGTGCTGCCGGCGGGTGCTGTGCCCTGCCCAGCACATCTCCACGTCACACCCACGGGCACCAGTTTCAGCCTTGCTACCACGTCCCTGCCCAGCCCGCGCTGAGGGTGGGCTCGGAAATGGGGAAGGGCTGGCATCTGGGACAAGGAGCCCACAGAAGCAAACACGGGGTGAATCAGCTCGTCTCTGTGTCAGCACTGACAGCGCTCCAGGCAGGGCAGACAAGAGAGCTCCTTGTGCAGGACAGGCTGCATGGGGCTGCGTCCCTGCCAGAGGCCACCCCCTCCCCGCCAGCCGCCAGCACGGGACCTGAGCCAGGTGGAGGAGCCGAATTCCTGCACCTCTGCCAAGCCTCTGCCTCCCTGGCCCTGAAGATCTCAGGGGCTGTGGGAACCCCAAGGGGTGGTGGAAACCCCAAGGGGTGGGTGGGCTCCTGGTGCTGGTGGGTTCCCAGTGCTGGTGGGATCCCCAGGGGTCACAGGTAGCCCAGGCAGTGCCACAAAGCCCCCCCAGCACCCACCTGCCCCATCCAGGAGCCCACCCCTTCCCCAGCACCCCGCAAAGCCAGGCGCTCTCCTTCCAAAGGACGGGAGGGACAGCATCCAGCTTGGCAGGGTCAGGCCAAGCCCCAGCCCCCGTCCCCAGGCTGGCAGCACCATGCCATACTGGCAATGCCTGGGTGAGGGGATGCTGGAGGGGGCTGGCAGCAGCAAGATGGGGAGCTCAAGGCCCCTGCTGCTGCTGCAGTCAGCGGTGGAGGAGTTAAGCCCGGTATTGGGGAAGAGAACGCCTCGTGCCCCCCCCCACAGCACAATACAATGCACAGCCCTGCTGGAGAGGCAAGAAGTAACTCAGGAATCCCGGAAAACACGGGCCAGAGGGAAGAGGCGTACCTTGGCAGGGCAGGAGAGGGCAGTAACTTTATTTGTGGCACGCTGAAGTCATCGGCTCACACCCGCGCTCTTTCCAAGCCCCTGCAGACGAGGCCGTTCCTGCAGCCGCCGCGGTTGCTTACGCAGCTGTCACTTGGCAGCACGACGGCCGGGGAACGCCAGCACAACGGCCGGCTTGTTCCAGCCCCGCCGCGCCAGTCCCAGCCCAAAACCGAGTCCAGAGCCACCCCAGATTGCTGCGAAGAGGCCAGCGGGCTCCACGCTCGCTTTTCTCAGTGCCAGGGGGTTGCAGAAGGCCGAGGATGGGGATCCGCAGTGGGCGCTTCGATGGCACGGGTGGCACTGCGCACCCTGACCGCGGGGAAGGCACGGGACTGGAGGGGGTCCTGGCATCCTGACAGCAGGCCCCCGAACACCACACCATCAGGTGCTGCCCTGGAGTTCTGCCTGGCACCCTGCCACACTTTGTCTGTCTGTCCTTCCTGTCTCCTTCCCTCCGTCTGGCGGGCAACGTGGTGAGGAGGAGCAGCCACACATCCAGAGCTTGGCGCAGGGCGTGCAGCAGCCCCGTGACACTGCATGGGGGCACTGCTCGAGGAGGGGAGGGGTCCCCGTCCCAGCCGGAGACGTGTCCCTGACCCTTCTCCATGGGTTTCCCAGCAAGGGTGGACTAGCCAGCTCAGTGTGGAGGCTCGCAGACTGCTCCAGTCCCAATGTAGGCGCTCCTCGGAGGCATCTGTGTCGGCACACATCATCCCCAGGATCCCTGGGTCTCCATGGAGTGGGGGGGTCCCATCCTTCTCCCCCACACCCCTCTCTGGGCTCCAAGGAGCCAGCAGGTGCCCATCACCAGTGTAGCTGGCGGCAGAGCTCATGGGTGAAAACCAGAGGTGAGTCCAACCGGTGCCACCTCCCAGCTGCCAGAGCAGGTGATGGGGCAGCTCCCTGGGGTGCCCGGGCTGGGTGCCCCCCCAGCACGTCCCACACGTCCCCTTAGGAGATGACACAGCAACACTTTCTGCAGCAGGGGCACCGCTTGTGGCAGCAGTTCCCCCCACCGGACTCGTGGCCTTTGGGTGGTTTGTCCAGGGTGACAGTGTAGAAGGAGTCGGGTGAATCCCCATTGGGCATCTTCATGCTACCATAGGGGTTGTAGGGCCGGGACCACGACTTCCCCGTGGAAATGGTCTGGTTGTCACAGCTGCCAGCACGGTCTGCCTGCTCCTCTGCGCTGTACACAGGCACGACGGCGGGGTTGGCGATCACGGTGGGCGAAGCAGGCTCTTCCTTCAGGTAATGAGTGATGAAACTCTGCTGGAACTGGGACCGCGGGATGTTCACGCTGGCATAGGGGTTCTCCAGGGTGACACCGCGATCCATGTCCCCGTCCCTGCTGGCTGGCAGTGCTCTCCCCACCTCCTGTGAGAGACAGAGATGAAGCTAAGGCATGGGGGGACCATGGGGTGGCCCCACTAGTTTGGGAGCAGGGTGCTGAGCTGTGCTCACCCCTCCCTGGCAGCCCCACAGGACCCAACAAGCGACCCCATATGTGTGGCCCTGCAAGCAGGGGCAGCAGAGCCAGGCAGGGGCCAGGGGCAGGCAGGGTGCTGGGGCTGTGGGTGGTGCAGGAGCTTCTGGGGGGAGCAAGCCTGGGACGAAGGAGGGCACTGGAGGGAGGGAAGCGGGGCAAGGACAAGAGGCAGGGGGGAGAGCGAGGGAAACGGGGCGAGGGGGGGGGGGGAGCGAGAACAAGGGTGGGGGGACTGGGACAGGGGACGGCGGGGGGGCACCGCGGGGTGCGAGGACGGGGAGGGGGCGGCGGGGCAGGGGCAGGGGCTGCGGGGGGCTCCCGGCACTCACCGAGCCGCGCGGCTCCGGCCGGCTGCGGGGCGGCTCTGCCCCGGCTGCGCTTCCTCCTGCGGCGGCGGCGGGGCTCGGCTCGGCTCGGCTCGGCACGGCCCGCCCCGACCCGCCCCGCCCGGCCCCGGGCAGGGACAGGGACAGGGACAGGGGCAGTGCCGGGGGGGCACCGCGCTCCCTGTGCCCTGCGGGGGGCACCGGGCGCTGGGCACCGGGCACTGCCTGGGCAGCGGGCAGGGGACACGGCGCACCTGCACCCCCCGGCACCCCCGGCCCACCCCCCGCCAGGCTCCCGCTGCCCCCAAGCCCTCCCCCAGACACCCAAATCCCTGCAGCCCAGGGGTCCCGCAGCCCCTGCCTGGCTGCGTCCCGCCTGCCCAGCGCAGACCCAGCCCCTGGCACCCCGATGCCAGATTCCCGGTGGGATCCCCCCCCTGCCTGGACCCCCGGCATCGATAGCAGCACAAACCAGGGGGGCTGGACCAGAGCCCCCAGCCTGGGGCTGTGTGACAGCTGGGGACACCGCAGCTCTGCAGTGTGATGTTGGCTGTTGTGGGAGCCCGGACCAAGAGGGAAGATGCGGATTTGGGGCATCCTCCACCTGAGAGCAGGCAGGGGAGCCCCCGTGCGAGCCCCAGCCCCAACCCTGCTCTAGGGCGACACTTTTCAGAAGACGCCAACTGAAAACCCAGCCCAGAAGCCAAGCACCGTTGCCTTGGTGCCCTGATCCTGCCGTATTCTCACTGCCACAAAGCCGGTGTCCCTGTCCCCCCCCGGACACCCGCTGTGCCCTCTGAGGGGCTGCAGGCAGGGCAGCGCTGCCCCCAGCCCCCGGGGCTCCTTGTGTCCCAGCAGCAGCAGCAGCGTGGGGACATGTCACGGGGATGTGGCACCACCACAGCTCCCCTGCTGTGCCCGGCACCGTGTCCCTGCTGCCGGGTGCTTGGGGCAGGGGGGGTCCGCGGGGCACCCTGCCTGTCCCCAGGCGAGGGGCGCAGCTCCCGGCCCGCACCCGTGGGGTGGGACGGGGACACCGGGGGTCCCCAGCTCCGTGTCCCTGCTGCGTGATGTCGCTGTGGCCACCGTGGGGACCCGCGCCCTTCCTGCCACCCAACCGGCCCGTGCCGAGCCCCGGCCTCCTCCCACGGTGCTGGATGGGGCCGTGCCCGTGGAGCTGGGGGACGAGTCCCCCCCCACCACTGCTGCTGAACCCTCGGGGACACGAACTACGTTTCCCAAAGCACTTTGCAAGGGGAGCCGCCCCCTCCCGCGGCTCCGCGGGACCAGACTGCGCTTCCCAGCCGGCTCCGCCGGGGAGAGCCGCCCAGGAGAGCCCCGCAGCGAGGGGCTGGGGTCGCCGGGTCCGGCCCGAGCCGCGGGTCCCGGGTGAGTGGGGGCGCGGGGCCGGCGGGGGGAGACGGGGCCGACAGTGGCAGCGCGGTCCCCAGGGGTGCGGGGTCTGGGATCGGCTTCGGCAGAGCCTCCCCCGGCCGGCTCCGTGCCTCAGTTTCCCCAAGCCCGAGCACCGGGAGGAGCGCGCCCCGCGCACCCGGCCCTCGGGCCCCGAGGGGGGGAATCGCGCTCCCGTGGCAGGAGAACAAGAGCTGCCGGACCCCCCCACGGCCCCTCCGACCCCGGCTGCCAGTCCCGGCTCGAGCTGTGTCCCCGGAGAAAAATGACTGGAGTTTGATTTTGATTTTTTTTTCACATAGAAGGAGGCTTTAAAAATAAAATATAATAATAAGAAAAAAGGCAGCGCCCCGGGAAGAAAAGCCCTGCCCGACCCGCGTGTCGCTGCCCGCCCGGGCGGTGTCGCTGCGGCTCCTCCGCAGTGCCGGGGCTCGGCCCACGCGCGGCCGCGCTCACGGGTGGGCTCCGCTGCCGGCACCCGCTGCCAGGGCCCCTCCGTCCTTCCTCGCCCAGAGGGTCTCAAAAGCGCAGCTCCTGCTGCAGGCGCCTCGGAGGTTAGGGAGGTTACTGATGGCCAGCTTGATCTTGTGCCAATGGTGTCTTCATTAACTGCAGGCCAAGCTGGAAGGGTCCCCAGCAAGACGAGGGCTTCAGGCTTCTGCAGAAAGTGGGGGGCGAGGCTGGGGCATGCTGGCCCCAGGAGGGACTAATACCCCCCAGTTCATCCCCACTGCTGTTGGCCCCGGGAAGCTGAGCCCCCTTGGCTGCATAGAGATGGGCAGGGGCTGTGTCCTCAGCCCCAGGAGCTTCCCCAGAACATCCCCGGCTTTGCCCTGGTCACACCACCTCCAAAATCCTTGCGCGCTCTTGTGCACAGACATGTCCACAATGGTAGTATAGCTCCAGGATGGGTTGGTTGGGATTTGGGTTAATCTGAGTCCTGTTGCAGGGAAAAGGAACAGGAGCAGCTACAACATCTGTGGACCCTACAGGATCCATACTAGACCAAGGTGGCCACCAAGGCAACTCTCTTCTGCTTGTGAGTACTTGGTCTGCTGCCTAAAGCCAAAGCATCCCAGAGCCTGATGGATTCAGGGTCACAGCAGCATCCCCCCTTGCTCCCCAAAGCTTTCCAGCCCCATGCCATCTTCAGGAGCTTCAGCCCCCTTCTGCCACATCTCAAGCACTGCGGCTGGGGAGCCCTGGCCCAGCCTCAGCACAGGGCTGGAGGCACCAAGGAGGGCTGGGCTGGGCAGGGTGTGTGCAGACCCAGTGCTCCAGGTTGATGCGTTTTATGAGAGATACTTGGATGTGAAAAACTCCCTCAAAGGGACGTGGGGATGAACAGAAAGGCTCCCCACGGTGCCCCTTCTGTGATGGAAGACCATGGGCCACTGTAGGGCGCAGACATCCTCAGTGGTGAAGCATCTGCTGTGCCAGTTTCTCTTTGTTTTCAGCACAGGGAAGATTACAAAGCCATGGGATGATAACAAAGCCCTGTCGTGATAACACAGCCTGGTGCTGCACTGGTGTTTGCCTGTGGGATGTTTGTGCTTCACTGCGAGGTCAGATAGGGACTGGAGGGGATGGTTCTTCCTCCCCTGTGCTCTTCTGACTCGTGCCATTTCAGGCTGCTGTCCCCAGCTCTTAAATATTAAACCTGTCCTCGTGGTGTTGGGACCGAGGTGTACCTTGTGATAAGACATGGAGCACTCTGTGCTGCCTTTGCCCCTCTCTGGGGCTCTGTTCAGGGTGCAGGGTGAAGGCAGGGGCTTAGACCATTTCCCTGCGACCTGAGGATTTTACCCCTGAACACCTCCCTTATTTACCCCATTTCTGTATCCACGTCATGGGGCTGTGCTCCCCCATGAGGTTGCTGCTACCTGGAAGCAGCAGGGCTGAAGTCCTGAGCCATCCCAGGGCTTGCTCATCCTCTCAGAGGCTTTTTGTCCCATCTCTGCCCCAGGGACTTCACCCTGTCCCGGTGGGTCTGGGGGGTCCATAGGAGGAGTTACAGCTGCTCTTGCTTTCTTCTGGCAGATGCTGGGGACCTGGCAGAGGAGGAGGTAGAGGCTGCGGTGCACCGGGGGACCACATGGACATACGGCTGGGGACAGAGCAAGGTGACAGTGACAACCCCTTGCCACCGTGGGACCTCAGGGGCTGCGGAGAGAGCTCTTATCCCTGAAGCATTCCCATGGCAGGGAGTCCTATAAATGCCAAGGCACAGGAGGGGCTTTGTGCCCCACACTGGCTCAGACACTGCGGACCCCCACGGGTCAGTGCCCCAGCGGGACCCTCCTCTGGCACCGGAGAAATCGGGCACCTCGGGAACAGGGGTTTATGTGCAACGGGGTGGGGACAGGGGATACACATGGGAGAGGGAGGTTGGCATCACAGGCAGTCATCAGCACTTGCTAAGGTTAAATTGACGGGACCACTTGCCCTGGGTGCTCATGCTGTGCCCTGGGACCTCCTCCCGTCCCCATCCACCACTGGGAGCATCATGGCATTGCTCACACCTGTGCTCAGGGCCGGTGGGGTGGACAGGACAGACAGCCCTGCACCAGGCAGGCGTGCTGCCCCCACTGCACCCTGATGGCAGGAGGGGGCTCGGGGCTCACCTGTCCCCTGGCAGGGGATGACGGGCACCGGCCCCAGGAGAACTGCACTGACCCTGGTGGAAGCAAACCAGTCCTTCAGCCACGGTGTATTCCCCAGGAGGGCACTACAGGGGGGTGAAAGCCTGAATCTGTCCTGTGCAGCTTTCAACTGCAACATTCCCTTCTCCTGTTCCCAAAATTGGTCCATCCTGCAGCAGCCACAGGCCGTGGCAGAGTCCTTCAGCATTTGTCCGGCCAGTGCCGGGCATAGGGCAGACCCAAAGCTGGGTGAGCCACCACTGGCCCTGGAGCTGCAGCCACGTCTGGAGTCTGATGTTCCAATATTTAATTTGTTCACAGGATACAACTCTGAACTGAGCTAGGAGAGCCATGTCTGGGTTCCTTGGTGGCAGATAAGCCAGACTGAGGTTGTGGCTGGGCTGGCAGCCGGTGGTTGCTTAGGAACTGCACTTGCAGCAAGCAAATGAGCGAGGCAAAATCACACCTAGCTGTTTGTCACTTCAAAGCAGCGTTGTTTCCCGTAGTTGTCTGTGGGGAAAAGAATTTCAGCAGAAAAATGCAACTGGAAGTTAGGAGCTACCCAAGACGTGGCCTGTTCGGGGTGAGGTGATGGGGAGAGAAGTCCCCTAACGGTGTCACGGCACTCACAAAGATGCACCAGCTCCGTGCATGCTTTCTCCAGTATGCAAGGATACAGCAAGCAGTTCGAGGGGAGAAAAAGTCACAGCTAGCAGAGCCAGAGTACAAAAACTTGGGGCTGAACAAAATGAGGAAGTTCAAGTGCAACCCAAACAAGCAGGCAGAGCCGTGGAAGGGGGCCATGCACCGTGTTCCCAGCAGGGTCCTGATGTCCCCATCATGGGCAGCCAACAACTGGTCTGGAGCCTGCAGGTGCTGCAAGGACAGAAGTGTCCCCGGCCGTGGGACATGCAGGGCATGGCTCCACTGACAGCCACCCACCGCCTGCGAGCCCCGGTGGGTGCAGCATGGGGTCTGGCTCCGACACACCACATTTCATGCCACCGTTCTGCCCATGTCACGAAGTGCTGGTCTCAGCATCTCCCGCAATTCCAGCCCCAAAAAGGTTTCAGTGGCCATGGCAGAGCACCCGCAGTGCCCAGTCCTGTGTTACCAACCGTGAGCCTGCCAGGATTTTTTGACCGATACCAGCGATCTCAGAGGATGCCTCAACTTGAGCCTCAAGGACTCCACACAAGATTTATTTTGTTACTCCCAGAAGGTCCCACCGCAGGGACAGACATTTCTGACCCGAGGCTCTCCAAGACCCAATGCAACACCAACAGCCATTCCTGTCGAGTGTTTCCCTCCTGCTCCCGGGGCCATGCAGTGCCACGGCACGGACGCAGCAGGGTGACTGAGCTCCTCCCAGCCCACCCATAGCAAAGGATGATAATAAGGGGGGAAAAACACTTTGAAATCGGCAACGTGCTGGGAGACAAGAAGCACAGCAAGGAGTTCCCTTGCAAACGGTGACTTCTTGCCACTGATTGGTGGACTGGAGACTTTTTGGAAGCTAAAGAAAGATTGCGGGTGGCCCAGGGGGTGGGAGTGGGGTGCACTGGGGGGTGGCACCTGCAAAGGGGTTGGTGCTGGTGGGGGTCAGTGGGGTGTCCAGTGAGCCGGGAGGTGCTGGGGAGGGGACTGGTGGTGCAGTAGGGAGACACAGAGAGCACAAACCAGTACACAGGGACAGAGCTGCCAGGGAAATGGGATGTGGGGGCTCATGGTGGCTGCAGGGGCTCTTGGTGTGTCTAAAGAAGAGCCCTCAGATGCACTTGTGTCTCCTCAAGGATGGGGCAAGCATCACCCACAAGCATCAGCCACACCACCAGGCTGCGAAGCCCCAGCACAGCTGCTGCCCCTCACACCCATCAGCAGCACCAGCGTCCTGGTGGAAAAGAGCAGCAAGGTGCAAAATCCAGATCCCCTGACACAAGGCCCGGTGTCCCTACAGCCATGCCCCATAGCTCAGGTGCTGCTTGCATGTGTGCAGCTGCAGCCCCGAGTTGCTTTGCTCCATGTGTGATTCCCATGGCAAGCAGTGAGTTTTCTCCCAAACCGGGCTTGCCCTGCAGCAGCAGCACATCCCCAGAAAGGGCTGACAGCTCCCCAGAGCACACGGGATCCCTCAGCAGCTCTATCCTGCTGATGTGACATCTGAGCCACCCCACCAGCCTGGGAGCGGGGGACAGGGACACTGGGGCATGCAAAATGTGCCGTGCAGATGTGGGTGCCGTGCTCTGTGCCTGTACAGCAGGGGCTGGTGCTGGGCACTCCGGCAGCTCCCCAGCTGTAGCCGTGTGCCTGCAAGAGGCAGCCAGGGCCCTGCAGCGGTGTCCCTGGGACAGCAAGTGTGCAAATTCACAGCTCCTGGTGCACTCGGTGTCCTGCAGGCTGTGTGTTGTGTGCACAGGGATGCTCATGCCATGGCTGCACAGCCCAAAGCTTGTGTAGATTAAGCCCTGCTCTGCCCTGCCAGGGGATGCTTGTGCTCCTCGAGGGTGATGATTCAGACAATCCTCTGGCACAGCTGCAGTCGGCGTCACAGGGGTCAGCTGTGCCTGGGTGGCTGCCGGGGTGTCCCCGAGCTCATGCCAGCCGCAGGGACCAGGCAAGGAGCCGGCTCCCTTATCGCCCTCCTGCACTCGCCCGCCGCCCCTCTCCCCCATGGCTCCTGGCCCGGCTCATGCAGGGGCTTGGCAGCGATGGGAGGGAAGCTCACATTGTGGCTGCCCACTGCGGCCGGGCTGCAGGAGAAAGCAAGGATTTCCTGGCCTGGAGCAAGTCCTTCCCGTCCCCTCCCTGCTGCAGGGGCTGGGGATGGGCTGCTCCTGCTGGGCTCTGCGCAGGGAACCAGCGGCTGCCCCTGCACGGAGGCAGCAGGGATGGAGCTGGGATTTTGCTGACACTACCCTGCAGTGCCAAAATCGTGTCCCACCAGCTCTGTTCTACCACATGCACAAAATCTCTGCTCCAAGAGGAGATCCTGGGGTTGGGGTTGGTGTGGGGTGGCCTCACAGCATTGCACAGGGTAAAAAGGTTAGGAAACAAAAAGCTTGGGCAAAAGTTAGGAAGGGTGATTCTGGCGGCAACCTCAGCACGGTGCAGGCTGGATTTGGGTCCCCTGGGCTGTGGCTACTGCTCCCTGCTCAGAGCCAGGAGCAGCCCAGTATGTCTTCCAAGGCTGAACATTCGCTCACGCACAGAGACACAGAAAATGGCCCTACAAGCCCCAGCTGGGGACACCTGGCTCAGCAGCTCACATGCACAGCCACCAGCTTCCCTCCTCAAATTTCATTTCTCCTCTCAGGTGAGAAAGCGCTTCCTGTGGACAGGGGCCAGGCCAGGATGCTGCGAGCTGCCAGCACCCACACTGCTGCAGGTCCCCTGCACAACCCACTTTTGTTTTCGCTGCAAGTAGCCATGCGTGGTGATGCTGTGGCAGCCTGCTTCTGCCATGCCACAGCCACAGGGAGATGTCAGAGGTTTGCTGCACCTGGAGATGTTTTTTAGGTTGTTTTCCTGTTATTTTTCCATGATTGGGAATCCCAAGGCCTTGGCAGGAGGGGAAGGGGTGTCACCTATTGTCCTGACCTAGGGCACCCCCAGCATTTTGCCATTATCCCACTCATCCCCAGCCTACGGACAGCTCGGGGACATCACCGTCCTGTCCCCAGCAAAGGTCCAGGCTGAAGCAGAGACACGGTTCCCATGGGAAGCAGCGGACCCTGCGCAGCACCCAGCTCCCAGCCAAACCCTTGGCTCCGGCTCCCTCCCCGCGGAGGTCTGTTTTCTGTCCTGCCGTCTGCTTGTCCTCCCCCAGCTCAAACAGTCCCCGTTTGTTTGGCTTTTGCTGCCGGCTGGAGCCAGGGCCGCGTGCCGGGGCCGCCCGTGCACAAGGGCCCCTTGTTCACCGCCGCTCGCTGGCCTTCCTCCCTCCTCACTCGCCTCTCGCCTGCTTTAGCAATTATCCCAATTAGCAGTGCCCCCTCCCTGCTGCCTGGCTCCAGCATGGCCCTCGTCCCTCCTGCTCTGTGTTGGTGGCAGCTGCCCTGCCGTGCACACAGGGCCACTGGCCATGGGGATGTGGGCACCTGGGAGATGGCTGCCTGCCCCCAGGCTGGGAAGCAGGGGGATTTTGCAAAATTCAGGCACCTAGAGGCCCGTGCAGGACACCAGGACTTCCTGCAGGCTCTGGATGGAGCACGAGCATGGTTGTGCTCAGCCCTGCAGCTGCCAGCCCTGCAGCATCGGCACCTCCACGTCACCTTCGTGGTGGTTTCCCATCCTGCCCCAACCTCGGGGTGACACCACGGGGCCGCGGAGCGTGGGTTCAGCCCGGTGGCTTCCTGCACACTGTGACCCGCACGGCGCTGCTGACACCTTCCTCCCACAGCCACTGGCTTCACAAGAGCCTAGGGCAGGTGCTGGAAGTTTCCACTCGCCAACACAGCCTGGGGCCGTGGCTTCCTGCAGCAGTTCCCAGCAGGGCCCTGTGCTGGGGCCACCTTCCCCTACAGAGCCCCAGGGAGCCACGCAGAAGCACCCCCAGCAATGCACATCCCCCGTGCATCAGGGCAGGCAAAAAACTCACACCCCGTCCCTGTGACACAGTCCTGAGCCACAAGGGGAGCAGACCAGCCCCAGCCGTGGCCACGACAGTGCGGTGGCAGTGTGGGCAAGCTCCTGCCAAAAGGACTGTGCCGTGGTCATGCCAGGACATGGCTTCTTGGTGGGGGCAGCAGGCGGGGCGAGCGATGCAGTGCCTGCCAGGATGGCTGCGAGCACCCCATCTCGTGCTGACAGCAGCCCCGGGCACCCAGGGTTTGAGCTTTGCAGCTCGAGCCAGCCTGTCCGCTCCCATTTACATCTGCTGTGTTTGCAAGCTCCGGGTTCACGCAGCCTGGCAGCACCGCGCTGCTGCAGAGCCTCCTCCGCAGCTCTGCCAGCCCCAGTGCAATGTGTGTGCGTCAGGGTCCTCCCATGACCCTGTCACACGTCTGCAGAGCCTGTTCTGCCCTAGGAGGATGGCAATCATCCTTGAGCATGCACCCAGAGCAGCACCTTCTTCCCCGGCCGTAGGACCATGACTGCTCCAGAGCATCCTGCAGGCTGTGTGGGTGCCTGGTGCTCTGCAGCACTACAGCACTACTACAGCCCTACCACCCACAGCTGCCCCCAAAATCCACGCATGCGCCTGGCAGACAGGGATGTGGCTCATGGTGGTGTGGGTCTGTGGATATCCCTGTTCTGCTCCCAGGGCGAGCGCTTTGGTGGCTCCCCCGGCACTCTGGGCATCCCTGTCCACTTCCAGGTCGGATCAGCAGCTTTCTGGTCTTCACATCCCCATGACACTAGGCATGGGGCTGGCTCTGGTGGGATGGCTTGCTCCCCGCAGCCTGCATGGAGCACTGGCCTGTGGCTCCTCAAGGTCCCCAGGGCCCCTATCCACCAGGGCAGGGGAAGAGAGTGGCTGCAGGGGGTCAGGCAGGGAGATGCTTGTGCCTCTTACCCCTGCCTCCGAGCCTTGTGAGCACTCTTGAAGCCCAGGACAAGCAGGCTCTTCTGGCTGGGCTCTGCCCATTCTTCCTGGTCCCATGCAGGAGCTGCCCATCCTCCTGCAGCATCCCAGTACAGCTCCTGACACCATATATTTTGGCCAGATCCTTGGAGAATGGAAGAAACTGGGGAGAGGAAAGAGGTGGTAGAAACTCCAAGGCCATATGGTGCCCATCAGCCCTGGAGCCCCCTCCTGTGAAGTCAGGCTCTCATCCAAAGTGATGCCAGGGAATTCCTGGAGGCTCCAGCCCTACAACCCCGACTCCCCCAGGCACCAACCCCTCCCCAGCTCTGTGAGCCGCCACGCTTCCTCCAGCCAGCCCTGTGCTGCAGCTCTCACCAATGCACACTCACTCGGCTCGGCTCAGCTCAGCCCTGCTCAAACCACAGTAAAGGTACAGGCACCCCGGGGGCCCCCGCACACCCCTGCCCGCAGTGCTGGGCGTGTGGGAAGGAGCAGCTGCAGGAGCAGCTCCTGGCTGCACACCCACACCGCTCCCACGGGGGGGAAAGCAAGATCCTCCGGTTCAAACTCACCCAAACTTAGCTAGAAATGCAACCACGGTACTCTGTGTCAGCACATCGGTTGCTCAAGCTGAGCAGATGCGATAGCAGGAGAGCTGGGGATACCTGCAGGAGATGCAGGTGCAGGTGCAGGTGAAGGAAGGGGAGCAGGCTGTGCCCCCAGGCCCTGCGGGGGATGCCACACCAGGGCAGCAGGATCACACTGCCCACAAGTGTGACTGCAGCCGCCGTGTGCAGGGCTGCATTCAGAGCAGAGGGCTGCAGCAGCACTGCCCAGATACAGGGACCTGCCCAGGTCCCATCTAGCGCATCTGGGGATGTTTTCCTGAAAAAAAGCCCAAATTTCACTGCAAAAACAAATTGCTACTTCAGTGCTCAGCTGCTTGCTCTTTGGAGCTGTTCCCCAGCCAATGCAGAGCACAGTCCTGCAGTCTGGGGCAGGACAAGCTTGGGGACAGAATCCTGCACGGGTGCCAGGACCTCGTGTGAGGCTCAGGCTCACCAGAAGCGACGTGAGGTCCCTGCTGAGCTGCTGGCAACATCTTGGGTGCGCAAGCGGCCGCCGCACCGCCTCCTTCCCCATGACCCAGTTTGCATCCTCGCCGCTGCATCCCGCCGCGCCACGCTGTCAGGTTACCAGTGCTGGGCTCTCCCAGGGAGCCAGCCGAGCAAGCGCTGAATGTCACTGCAATTACACGGCGTCTGCCTCAAGCCCAGCATCCCTGGCACCAGCGCTGCTCCACCAGCTCCCAGCAAAAGAGCCGGAAAGAGCTGCTGTGTCCCTGCTCTGATACACGCTCCTAAGCCCCAAACCCCTCAGGCATTATTAAACCCAGCTTTAGCTGGGCTGAAAGGGCAGCGGGAAGGTTTCTGCAGAGCTGCCATTTCTATTTCTGACCAGTCTGTTCCGTTTCTCTTAGGCACAAGGTGTTTTCTAAAGGACATGGGTCTGCCTTGCACCAATTGCCCTAAATCCCTGCTCTGTGTCCTTGAGGCTGCTCTCCCTCACCAGCAGCCCCAGGAGGCTCTGGGTTTCCCTGTCAGCCCCTAAATCACAGCAGAAGGGGAGGGGAGGGGGAGTTCATAACGTGACAGTACTGCTGCTGGGTCAGTCTGGACAGTCCCATTCCAAATCAGAATCCAAAAATAGCCAATGTGCTGCTCAGTGGGGTTTTGGCTGTCTCCAAGGCCAGAGGTCCCAACACCTCTCTGCCCTTGCTCACAGTTTGACCTTCATGGTGAAGATGCTTTTCGCTGTGTAGATACAGGGAAATAAAGTTGGAGTCTCCTGTGTTGCCAGCTAAGGGCTGTTGCCTCTTGTCCTTTCACTGTGCACCTCTGGGAAGAGCCTGGCTCTGCCCTCTCCCTCCTCCCATGAGACAGCTGTGGAAAGCAATGCATTTTCCATGAGACTTCTCTGACGGCTGAACATCCATGGGGCTGCAGGCAGGGAGCTGGCAGGGAGGGGATTGAAGGTCACCACACCCAGGGGAGAGGAGACAGCCTGTCTGGCCCTGCTGCCTTGATTTCCTCTCTTCCCATCTCCACCTGTTCTGTCCTGCCATCCGAGGACACCTCGGGGTGCTCCCTGCTGCAGGGAGGGCCACCCGCAAGGTGGGCGCCCGGTGCTCAGCAGGGGCTCTAGGAGTGGCCACAGTATTAAACACTAAAATGATTTAATAGTAAAAATAATGAGCTTTAGGAACATCCATAACATATAATGGGCTTTAGGAACATCCACGGTTATGGCCATAAAACCACACGTACATGTCTCTTCTGCCACGGAGTTTATTGTTCCCACAATCTCCAAGTCTGCCTATGGTGGCATGGGGATGAGGCGTGGGCTTTAGAACACTTTGCAAATATATCCTGAGCACCATGTTTCTTACACTGGAGTTTGTGTAAAGGCTGGATGCCTAGGAATGACCATTTCCAACCCCCCGCAGATGCAATCAAACAGTACTGCAAGTGCATAAATGGTCAGGTCCTGGCTGCCACCAACCCACACGATTTTGCTGCTGCGAACAGCAACCAGAGCAGAAATAGCTGGCTCACAGTAAGAATTTCTCCTGCTTTCTTGGCAGATGTTTTAACAGCATTCCTCCATCAAAACTGTGTTTGCTCAGCTTGGGCAGGCGCCCATCCGTGGGAGCTGAGCGGCTGCCCCGCTCTGCACAGCAGCACACTGCTGGCTGCCACCCCCGTGCCACTGTGTGCTGATACCACCTCGTCCAGTTCTGGAGGGATGCAGCCCTGGGGGGTGGCGATCGTGGCACCTGGGATCCTGTCTTAATCCTTCCTTCATGTTGGTGCTCTACACTGCACATCAGCGTGCAGGGAAGGAGAGAGTCCTGAGGGGATAGAGCACGGAGAGCACAGAGCACGAGCAGCAGACTCACCCCTTGGCCAGCTGCAAGGCAGAGCACCCAGCTGGTGCCACGGCCCACTAGGGACCTGCTGATCACAGCTGCCCTCTGGAAAGCTGAAGGTGAGCTCATTTTTGTGGATGAATTATCTGTGTAATGAGTGATTCGCCAGTGCAAAACAAGCCCATTGTGAGAAGCAGGTTGGATTTTGGAAAGAGTTGTTGATGTGTACCTGACCTGGTCAAACAAAGTGCGTAAGGAGAGCACCAAGAAGTGGATAGAAGAGGCATGAGTCAGTGCAAAAGCAGCCCAGGTGCTGAAGACAGATGCAAGGACAGCAAAGAGCAATGGCCAGATTTGCACACAGGGTAGAGGGGCCCTGCACATCAGGCTGGTGAGCATGGCGCTGGCTTCCCCTGGCTCCAGTGAAAAGCAAAGCCACGGGCAGTCACAGCGCAGGGCTGGCGCCAGGAGAGGAAGAAGCCATCCTGCTAGAGCAGGTCACTCCCGGCACACATCATTAAGCCGAAGTGCAACAAAATCCCAAGTGTGCAGTTGGACGAAGCTGATTTTGGCTGATGGAAATGAGGAGGAGGAAATTTAAGGTCAAGTTATCTTCTGGCACAACCATTCGTCTCCGCGTGGTTGCGCCAGCAGTGCCACGCCACTTGATACATCTGTAAAGCAAAGTTTGGAAACGATCAGTTTGTGACACTGGAAACCAAGGAGTTCACAGAGAAGTTGTGGTGGCAGGCAGGGCAGTCCCAGCAGTCACACTGAGGACCAACCACCATTCGAATACAAAAAGCAGAACTTTGTTCAGCTGGGTGGCAGGAAATGAACCCACTGGCAAAGCCGCTCTTGTGTCTGCCCAAGGAGAGCCCAGCCCTGCACGCCAAGAACTGCAGAGCGGACCCAGGGCACTCTTGGTCTGCTGGAAAGGACACAGAAAATGGGAAAATAATTTACCAATGTTTGTAATACCCAGAAACATCAGCACAGAGCTCAAAAACACACAGAATGTCCCCATGAAACATAAAGACGTACATTTACAATAACACACAATAAGAAATATGTTTATGAAAGATAGTAAGTACAGCAGCTGGAGTTGTATATGTGACCAATTTGGACAGTATAACCAGGGGCCATGCAGCAGGAATAAGGGTTTGCCCAGGCCCAAAGGTTCGAGCCTCCCTCCCACAGGGCTGGGATTTGCTCTGGATCTCCCTTGAGTGTGGCTGGCAGGGAAATGTCCGTGCTTTGGAAAACGAGGTTCTTTTCAGCTTGGGATAGAAACCAGAGATCTTGGTGGGACCAACTCAGTGCAGGAAAAGGGCAAACTCTGTACCTCCAACTGCTATTTCAGGCAGTGTTTATGTGACTCTCATGGGGGCTGTTCTAATGCTGAAGAAATGAGAAGAATCCTGCACCTGCCCTGCAGCCAGGCCCAGGTACCCCTCCATGAGCTGAGGCAAAACCCAGCCAAGAGAAGCCTGGAGAGCCCAGCCAGCCTTGTTGAGCCTTCCGATGTTGAGATGAAAACAGAAAGCATCCATTGTTGGAAACAGGAAAAAAACCTCCCTTGCACTAGACCTAACAAGTGGCCAAGGACCCTGTCAAGCCCTACACAAGTTCTAGGAGAAAAAGCAGAGCCAGCCTTGGCTTGGGCTGCAGATGTCTCCAGGAGTGTGTGCACAGGTGTAGGAGAGAAGCTGCTGCGCTGGGATGGGGATGACCCAGTCCACGTCCAACAAGTGCAGGAAGCCATCAGGGCAACACGAGGATCCCCAGCACCTTGGCACAAATACACTCTTATTCAGCAGAAAGGATCCCTGATATCATTTATGATTATTTTTAAATAGAGCTGTTGCTTAACTCACTGAATAGCAGAATAATAACACTGTGTGGCTGGGTCAGCATGGGGATGCCACATGAATTAATAACAGAAAATGGCTCACCATCACTCACTTCCTGCAATTTCCTTTGCTCTGTGACTTCAAGCATAATACATCAGTTCTTCGTATCTGCATCCAAAAGTGCTAGCAGGAAAGTAAGAAAAAAAAAAAAAAAAGAAAAAAAAAGGAAAAAAAAAAAAAAGATGACATGGAGAGGACAGGGAAGATTAAGGGAATCCCTGTTTAACACTGTTAGGGTGCTAGACAGCAACAGCCTCACTCTGCTTTCGGCAGGTGATCAGATCAAAGAACTATGCTTAGCGGGACTAGAGGCAGAGCCACTGCAAAAACCTTCGTGCAGCACAGAACGGGCAGGTTACAGGCGCAGCCGCCAGCACTGCCGAGAGGGGCGTACGGGGTGCTGGTGGCAGGGGCAGGTGGAGCTGCAATGCCCAGAGGGATGCCACGCTCTCAGGTGGGCCCGGCTCAGGGACGCAGCAGGGTCCAGGCACCATGGGGTTTGGTTGGCTTCTCCAGGCCAGGCACCTGGGTGGGAGTTCATTGCCTGGAGCTCGTCTGGCTTGAGCTGAGAGCGGCTGCTGGGATGTGTAAGGCCTGGTGGAGCTGAGCTTTCCCCAAGGCTGACAGTGGGGACACGAACTGCTCAGTGAGTACATGAGCTCTTGTATCCATCCTGGGGATAGCGGGGAAAGTGATGGTGTGAAGGTGTGATGTAGGTTTGCTGTCCCAGTGCAGCTCCAGACGCTACAGCTCAAGGGCTTCACTGCAGCAAGGGCTGGGGTCAGCCAGCTGGGTCGTGGTGTGGAAACCTTTGCTGGCTGGAAACGTGTGCTGCAGCAAGGCAGGGGGAAGGATATCAAAATCCAGGCAAAATCCTGAGGCCAATGGACCAGAGGGAAGGAATACAAAAAGCAAGACAGTTGCAGAGGGTGGCACGTGCAGCAAAACCCCTACAGCACCCAAAGGATCCCAGGGAGCCTGATCCCAAGGGTTGGTGTCTGCCTGTGCCAGTGAAGGGGGGCAAAGCAGCAAGACCAGCCCCACATGCTGCTCCCCAGCGCTCTGCAGGGCTCTGGGGGCGTTATGGGTACCCAGTGGTGCGTGACCCCTGCTCACTCACTGTGCCGAGCCCACCAAACCCCTCGTGGACCACGGAGACCCCGTGCCCTGCTGCCCCCTCCCTTGAGCTCCTGGGGGTTCAGGATGCTCGGTTGGGTTTTGCCCTCAGCCCTCACCAGCGGGGCAAGGCTGGCTGTGGGTCTGGAAGTGGGGATGGGGCCATGCGGTGCAGGTGGGGAGGCCGGGGCCGGCCCAGCATCAGGGCCAGGTGGGAAGCGTGTTCCCACCGCTAAGGCCGTTCCCCAGCCCCAAATCCCACGCGGGCCTCCCGCGGGGAGCCCTTTGCCCCCTATACCACCCCCCTCCACCACCCCTGGTGGGACCCCAGCCCTCGTCCCCCCCGCACCCCATCAGAGGAGCCCCCCGCGCGGCAGCGCTCGCAGCAGCGCCGGCTGCTGAGTCACTGCAGCCCCCCCCGGAGCTCCGCGCTGGGTCCCGGCCGGGGGTGGGCAGCGGCGGCGGGGGGCGGCGGGGCCGGGGCAGGAAGGAAGGAGCGGGGCGGCCCCGCGGCGGGCGGAGGGGGCGGGCGGGGGGCGGAGGGCGCTGCGGCCGCGGGCCCCGCGCTGCTGCTGCTGCTCGAGAGAGAGAGAGAGAGAGAGAGAGAGAAATGTGAGCCGGCTGCACCACTGCAGCGGCACTGCGGGCGCCGGGAGCGCGCAGGGAGCGCCTCCGCGCAGCGCCCGCGCCGCCGGCAGCGCCGAGCCCCGGGGGACGGCGGGGAGGGAAGCGCCGGGAGCCCAGCGCCGGGGCTCGGCCGGGAGCCCTGCACCTGCCGAGCGGCGAGCGGGGGGCCGGGGCCGGCCGGCGGCCCCCCAGCCCTGCACCGGCTCGGTTGCATCAGCCCTCTCCGGGGCGCTGCGCGGCCGGGGCTGCGGGGGCTGCCTCCTCCCCCGGCGGAGCTACCGGAGGCGGCGGGGCCGCCGGCAGCCCCGGCCTTTGCGGGAGGCCGCCCGGGGATCGCCCCCCCCCAGACCCTCCGCAGCCCCGCCGAGGCCGGGCGGGCTGCCCGAGGCGGCGGCGGGGCCGTGGGAAGCCGGGCGCGGCGGGCGCGCAGCCGGCAGCATCCCCGCGGAGCCCGCGTCCCCCCGCCTGCCTTTCAGATAACCTTTAGCCGCCCGGGCCTCCCCGCCTCGGCCGCGGGGCCGCAGAGGGGCTCTGGAGGCTGAAAGCAGGACGCGGCCGCAGCGGGACCCCGCATCCGAAGCGTCGCCCCCGGGGCTGCAGCCACGCAGGTAACGAGCCGCAGGCACCGGGGCTCTCGGCCGGCCTGGCCGGGAGCATCGCCCCGCGGGCACGCAGGCGCGGGTGTGAGTGTGAGTGTGTGTGTGTGTGTGTGTGTGCAATGTGTGTGTGCACCGCCGGGCTGTGCGCAGCGCTTCGTGCCCGCAGTTTGCTGCGGGGGGCAGATGCTGGGGGCCGCGGGGCCCCGGGGGCTGGTGTTGGTGCGAGGCACCGCGGGGAGCTGCGAGGGCTCAGCCTGAAGGGGTGTGACAGCGCGAGTGCGGCGGCCGCTGTCCGAATCCTGTCCGAATCCTGTCCATCGTGCTGCGGGTGAGGCTGCGTGAGCCCTGCGGGCAGCTGGCCCCGGGGCTGCTGCTGGGAGCGGGGGGAGCCTGGGCTGCCTGCAGGTCGTGGGGTGCGGGACGTGGGGTGCGGGATGCGAGGCCGCTTTCCCCGGGGCAGGTGTTGCAGGATGCTCCCGGGATCCGGTGCAGCCAGGGCATGTCCCCCCCCTCCCCCTCCCGGACATCCCTCCTGGGGTCAGGCAGGGATCCAGCCCCCGCAACTCTTGGGCATCTAGGGCTGAAGCCCCCTGACCCATCAGTGCCCCCTCCTCAGCCAGATGGCCCCCCCAGGTCCCCTCTGTCATGCCTGGCAGGGCTCGGTGGGAGCAGGCATCCTGCTAACAGGATTTGCAGTGTGATGGAGGAGAAGCGCCTTCGCCCTTCCAGGAGAGGCAGGCTGTCGCTGGGTCTGCCCAAGGGAGAAAATGGCCTCGGGCTGGCTGCCTGTACCCCATTGCCTGTCCCCAAACATGGCCCGACATCCCCAGCAGCTCTGGGACAAGGGCAGGGAGCCGTGGAGGGGGAGAGATGATAGCAGGGACAGATCAGGAGCGCGCGATAGAGGTAAAAATAGATCCACAGAGCAGAGGAGGGGCTAAACGTGAGCGAAAGCCCTGAGCACAGGCAGGCCGGGGGGGGAGCCCCCCCCAGAGGGCCCTGCACACCCAGTGGGGCACACAGGGACCCCCGCACTGCCCGGGCATGGTCCCCAGGGCAGGGGGGTCCACAGGGCCTTTCCCAGCCATGGAGGAGATGCCCGGGGGGAAATACCTTCCAGCTCCCACATCCGCCGGCCCAAAGCATGGAGGGCAGATGGACAGGACCGGTAGGGCCGGTGCTGCGGGCAGCAGAGAGCCAAATTGACAGGATGGAGGCAGGCATGCGTCCGCAGGGAGCACTGTCCGGCAGAGCTCCAGCCAGCCCAGGAGCCAACCTCCTCTTGCTTTTCCTTTCCAGTGAGCACGAAGCTGAGCTGGGGACGGAGGCGCTGGCCACAGTGGGGAGAAAGCATGTAGCAGCCCCGGCGCCGGGCAAGGTGAGCGCCCGCCCGGGCGGGATGCGCCCCGTGCCCTGCGGGAGCTGCCGGTGACAGCAAGTGGGAGAGCCGGGAAGTCAGAGCAAAGGAATTTGCAAACATTCTTCAGAGCCACGAGGAACCCAAGGCGGTAAACAGGAATAAAGGCTGGGTGGAGGCGGGGGCTGCCCCCCGCAGCACTGCCCACATTTCTGCCACAGCACACCCCCCCCCCAAGCTGCCTGCCCGAGCATCGCCCAGCACTGCAGGCATCCATTTGCCATTTCTGACTGCAGCCTGTCCGGTGTGGAAGTGCCAGTGAGGGCAAAGGGGGGAGCTGCCGAGTGGCAGGCGATGTCACATTAACGTCCCGTGAGGCGCCACGGGGAGCAGACGCTTTGATCGCCTGCCCGAGAGCGTCCTCAAAGGCGGGCGCGGGCAGGATGCGGCCGTGAGCGCCGCTTTCCCCTGCGCGCCTCCGGCACCCCGGGGTGGCCGGAGAAGAGGGGCGCAGGGCCTGCACGTCCCCCATGTCCCCAGGATGTCCTGTGCTGGCAGCTGCCCCCCTTGCTCCTGCTTCATGGCCAGAACGAGATTGAAAGCGCTGCATGCTGCCGGCATGTTTTAGCCTCATGCAGGCGTCCCTCGGAGAACCCAGAGCAGTGGACAGTAATGTGAAAACCATACTCATGTCGTGTCTGAAAGGGCAACAGGTCATCATTAAAATGGAGGCGATGAAAATCATCCACCCGGAGAAGTTTTCAGAGCTGCAAGCATCGCAGCCACGCTACACACCGGCCCCACGCCGTGAGCCGCCCCTCGTGGCCAAGCGCGCGTGGCCCTCCGAGTCCGAGATCATCGTCAACCAGGCGTGCGGGGACATCCCGGCACTGGATGCCACCCCCGGTCCCCTGCCGCTGCCCCGGACTCCCCCCCTGCCGCGGCGCGAGCGCGGGTACCAGGGGCAGCGGAAAGGCAGCTCAGAGGTGTGCTACCACCGGCAGCCGCCGTCGGACGAGGTGATCGTCAACCAGTACGTGCTGCACCCCTCAACGCCCTGCGAGCCCCTCGAGTGCCCCACCTGCGGCCACATGTACAACTTCACCAACAAGCGGCCCCGCATCCTCTCCTGCCTGCACTCGGTGTGCGAGGAGTGCCTGCAGATCCTCTACGAGTCCTGCCCCAAGTACAAGTTCATCTCCTGCCCCACCTGCAAGCGGGAGACCGTGCTCTTCACCGACTATGGGCTGGCGGCACTGGCTGTCAACACCAGTATCCTCAACAGACTGCCGGCCGAGGCCCTGGCCGCCAACCCTGTGCAGTGGAGCAGCGACACCGACCGCAGCTGCTACCAGACCTTTCGCCAGTACTGCGGGGCCGCCTGCACCTGCCACATCCGAAATCCGCTGTCTTCCTGCACCATCATGTGAGGCCCGCGCCCGCGCCCTGCCCCGGCCCAGCCCCATCGGGGAGAGGACAGAGGATGGTGCTGCGCCCTGCCAGCCCCTGGCTCCAGGCGATCCAGCTGTGCGTGGAGGGGGCAGAGCTGATCCTTCCTACAGCCACGGACATGGGCTCACTCCCACTCTGGGCTCACCAGCGCTGGTGGTGGGGATGCTGCGCTCTGGGACATGGCGGGGATCTGGTGGCAGCCCCCCACGTGCCAGTGGTGCTCAGGGAGAGGGACATCAGGATCAGGGTCTTGGCACACCCCTGGGCATCTGTGGCAGCCCCACTGCGACCAGCATCGAGCATCCCAGGGGCTTCTCCCTCCTCTCCCAAGAATGGACACTCAGTCCCACCGGTGACACCCTACCCATCGCCCCGCAGCTGGTGGTAACGGCACGAGGGGCCCCAGAGCGGCACGGTGCCCAGCACGGGACAGGAGCAGGTGTGAGAACAGGCCCCCATCACCCCCCCCCCCCCCTTCTCTGTAAGTTATTTGCCAAAGCTTTCATCTCAGCGGCCAAGCTGCCGTGCGTCTGAGTTGCCGAAGCCACGCCAAGCCGCCACACCGGTGTGAGCAGACACGCGGCCCGTTTCCTCCGCAGGCCCCTGAGGAAAGCTCCTGTTTGTCCTCGTTTTGGAGGATTCTTGTTTTTCCCTGTCTGTCCCAGGCCGCTGTGTGTTCACCAAGGCATTGCTCTGTGCCCGTTCTCTGTGGCTTCATCCACCCAAGGCTGCGAGGGACCCTGTGCCCTACACTGATGCCCTGTGGGGCAGCAGCCTCCTGCGCACTGTCTTGCTTTCTCCAGGGCATCTGGAGGGGGAAGTTTGCTGCCAAAAAAAAAAAAAAAAGCAAAAAACAAATAAACAAACAAACAAAGTAAAAAAGAAAAAGCCATAATTTGCAGGTGCTCCGATGGGGCTGAGCACTGCAGCACCAGGGCAGGAGGCAGAGCCCCAGCACAGCCCCCAGGACATCGGAGCTGGGGAAGCTGGGGGGGGCCCATGGAGCTGCCCCCTCCCACTCTGCTCCCAGGCATTTCAGGAGCAAGGAGCAGCCCCAGCACCAGCTGGAGCCCAGCAACCACCCAGGCAGAAGGACCAGGCCTCCATCGCTTGCCCTGAGGAGTAGTTACCGCTGCCAGCGAAGCCCTGGCACCACCCTGCTGCCCAGGGTTGGGGGGGCGCAGAGAACGGGGGCCAATACCAATTCTGTTCTGCTCTGCCAATGCCTCCCGCTGCTGGTTGTGACAATGATCATGTTTTATACCCGGCCTTGTTCAACCCCAATCAGTCTCCCCAATAAAGATTATATTGGAACGAAGAGCAAGCGAGGATGTTGGGGGTGTGATGCTGCGGGGAGAGCGGAGCTGCGCACCGGTGGGGTGTGCCCAGGACACCACGCTGTCCTCACGTGGTTCGTGGGGTTTGTGGTGGTGGTGGGATACCCCAAGGATGGGCTTTCCTGGGGAGCAGGGGCTGCCACATCCCCCTCTGGTTGTGTGTTTGTGTCTCCTCCCTGCCTAGACCCCAGCCCCACAGCTGGGCACTGTGGGATGCCCCGTAACAGGACGCTGCCCCATCCACACCCTGCGATCTTGAATAGCCAGGAGATCTGATCCTCCCCAAGAGATTAAGTATATGGGGGGAGGAAAATTTGTAAGCCTGGTGGCACCCACAGGCAAAGGGACACGGGCAGGGATGGGGCAGGGGTGGGCTCCCTCTGCCCCTCTCTGGCTGCAGGGCCGGTGTGGGTCCTCCTGCAACACAGCCCACACAGGGCATCCCGGTGGTACAGGGAGGCACGGGGCAGCCCCACAGGCATGGGGCAGGCACCACTGCAGGACCAGGGGCAGGCTGTGGTTTGGACAAGGGAGGATGTTCTACAGGACCCAGATCTGCACAAACCTGGGCAGTGAGATCCAGCTGCACCCTGTGCATGGCAGTGCAGGCAAAGAGCATCTGCAGCGAGCACCCAGTGCTTTCTCCAAGGGACACCTGGGGTTGCTGCAATGGGAAATCTCTGGCTAGGACAAGCAGCAATTGCCAGGGTCGAGCTCCCCGGGGTGTCAGCAGCTCCTTTCTGCTGGAGCCACAAGCGAGGACAGAACAACGCAGTGCTGAGCACACCTGAGGACACCTCCGTGTGTGTACGTGCATGCAGGGGCTTTTCGTGCACACGCAGCCCCAGTCGCCTGGTGCTGGGCCCCAAATTTCCTGTCTCTGAGTTGCTGCTGCCTCTGCACTCTGCACCCTGTGGTGGGCCAGGCATTCCCCGCCAGGCACGCAGCGAATGCAGCACCCTCCCCGTGTCCGTGGCTGTGCAGGAGCACACGCTGTGCAGTGCTCAGGGGGAATTTCTGCCCATGAAAACGAAACCATTTCACAGCTCATTGGTGCTGAATTACAGCATCAATAATGCAGCCGGTGCCATCCCTGGCCCTGCACACGCCGCGGCCCTGACCCATCTCTGCAGCCCTGCACCTGCATCCTCCAGCGGATGTGGGGCACACATGCAGCGCCGGGCGCTTTGTGGGTCGGGTGACGTTTCCTGACCTCTCGCCCCAAAGGCCACAATACCGCTTGGAGCAGGTAGCCTGGCCCCAGGGCGGGAACCAAGGCTCCCAGTAACCACTGCCTCCTCCCGTGATCCTGGCGGTGCTCAGGGAGGCTGGGGCGGCCCCAAGCCCTTTCCAGCAGGAGCAGCTCCATCACCCCAACCAGTTCTGAGATCCTTGGCCCCAGGGAAACTCCTCCAGCCATTCCTCAGAGACCGAAGCACAGATCTGGAGACAGTTTTGCTCTCAAAGCAGGGATTTGCTCTTTTTATTACATAAGGATGAAGGGTACAGCATGTCCTCCAATCTCCACGGTACCTCTTGGGCACAGAGTAAATTTAAAGCTGCTAATTTGATTTTGATTCACAACTAAGGAAGAAACAGGGCCTTTCAGGAACAAGTGTTGGGTGACAGCCCACTTCTCCAGCCCTATTTATCTCAAACAAGCACATGCTGGAAGAAGGGCCCAGGCACAATGCTGGGAGGACAGGACCAGGGTGCCAGTGTTCAAGCCCCAGCTGCAGGTGAGCTAAAACATCTCCTGAAGTCACTGCAGCATCCCAAGCCCTGAAACACTCCAGCAGACTCGATGGCCAGGCTGAGCTTTGTGCCTCCGAGGTGAATTTTCAAAGAGCACCGAGTTCCACCAGCTGCTCAAACACAACAGACATCGCTGGGGAGAGGTCCCCGAGCACTGCCCCATCCTGTGCGGGTTGCACAATGCTGGTGGTGACCAGTTCCCCTCTGCACAGAGCTGGGGAGGACCTGGCCATGGTGTGGCCAAGGGATGAGGGCTGCACGAGTCTACGGGAGGGCATGACGTGCTCGGTTCCTGCAGGTTGTCAGGGAGAAAGCTGAGCACCACAACAGGGCCCACCTCAGGGAAGAACATCATGCGTGGCAAACTTCAATGTGGGGCAGCCACACACCCGAAATGGCTGTTAGAGGAGAGAGGAAGCTGCTTGCAACAGCTTCTTTCAGTGCCAGGCTTGCACAATGACACACAACCCTGAGACACAAAGCTAACGGGTTGTGGCAAGGAGCCCGCGTGGCCGGGACAGGTCCCAGGGCAGCGCCGGCCCCATGGGCAGGAAGCAGCTGGGACCTGGTGTTTCCCTGCGGACGAGGCCGGGGAGAGCTGCGGGCAGCCCTGGGTGCCAGCGCCACCATCAAGGTGCACGAGATGCTCCCGGTGCTTTCATGCCATCCCCACGGGTGGCAGCACTCTGGCCCCTCTCGCTCGGGTTGGGGATGGAGGCATGGGGCAGGGCTGAGAGGGAAAGAGGCCATGCTGCTGCCAGCTGTGGTGCCAAAGCAATCAGATGCCTCTGGAGCTGGATGGAGACCCCAAAACCCTGGCCCTGCCTGAGAACTGTCAGGCTTTGTGTGTGCCCCCAGCTGTGTGACACTCGAGGACACCCCAGTGCGACCCTTCCCCACGGGCACCTGTGCACTGCTGGGGACCTGGGCGGGGGGACACGCTGGGCTTTAGAGAGATGTCTGCAGGGCTGGGGACAGCCACGTCGCTGGTCTGAGGACATGGGGTGACCCCCAGTGCCACCAGCAGGGAGAGGCAGTGAAGCATTTGGGGTGCAATGGGATGTCAGGGCTGGTGAGAGGGGGATGGGGAATGACAGGGTGGGTTTGGGGCACCGTGATAAAGTGGGGGGGAGGTGGGGGAGAGCGGGAGAGGGGCTGGGGGCTGCAAGGGAGCAAGTAAGAAGGTGGAGGATGGCTGCAGGGGTGTGTGCATGGGGAGATGGGGGCATTGGTGCATACCAGAGCACAAGGGCCACTGTGCATATGAGAGCAGCTTGGGGGAGGGGGGGCTGTGCAAGGGGACAGTGCCCCCCACCCCACCACAGCCTCCCCTAGCTTTCAGCACACCACCCCAGCCCCTGCTCGGCGTGCCTGCGGCGCTGCCTGCCGCTATCTCAGCACGCTAAATATAACCGAGTCCTTGTGAGCGGACATTGCAGCCGAATTCCTGCGGGCCAGCCCTTCCTGCACGCCGGGGCTGGCCGCCCGCGCTCACACTGCCTGCGATGCCACCGCCCTGAGGCTGGTCCCACACTGCGGCCCCCCAGGACCCTATCCCTTGGGGGATTTGGGGGCTGTTCTCTGGTTTCAAGCTCCAAGACAGCTCAGAGAGAGCAGCATGGATGTGCTGGAGGATGGCATTGAGCATCATGCTCCAGTGCCGGTCCCCATGGGGACAGCTGTGGCCTGGTTTGCCCAAAAAGTGCCCCCTCCCCTGACAATGTAATGTAGAGCAGGGACATGTGCCAGGTGTCCCACACGGTGATGTCGCCCCCCCCCCCCTCTGCATGAGCCCTCCCCTCCCCGCAGGCCTGATGTAGCCAAAAAACACCCCCAGCCAGGCCAAGCTCGCAGTTCTCCTGATGGAGCTGCTCCACTTTGTATAAATAATTACTCCTCGGTGTAATAGGGCAGGTGGGGTGGAGGGGGCCCTGCCAGTCTCTGCCTGACCCATTTTGGGGTGCCCCTCTCCTTTTTCTGCCTCCTACACCATCCTGCAGCCTGAGGCAGTGGCAGCAGCATGACAGTGCCCTCAGCACCTTTGCCAGAGCTGAGGCAATCCAAACAGGTTGGGGGGACACAGCCCCCTGGGTGGGATCTGGGGGAGTAAAAGAGTAAAAATTAGAGTTTCTGCTGTTGTTGCTCATGGTCAAAAGAAGAGTGCTTCGGATGCAAAGAAGCATTCAGGGTCAGTGCAGGGGGCTTTTTCCCAGAGCAAAGCCAATTGCCCCCATGGAGGTGGCCTCGGCTGCTGTCCCAGGGGTGCGGGTATCCCCAAGAAGCTGCCAGCCCAATGTCGCGCAGCACGGCTGGGAGCACTGTCGTGGGCTGGGCATCCCTGCAGGGGGACCTGGGGAGCACTGCATTGTGCCCCCAGCAAGGCTGGCTGCCAAGCAAGGAGGAACATTGCTGCTGAGGTGTTCCCAGTGCAGGCAGGCAGCCGGTGGTCCCAAGAACAGGCTGGCACAGCCCTGGTGCCACAGGCTCCCCTGCCTGCCCTTGTGGGCACGGCGCTGTGAGCTGGGGCCCTGTGGGTCCTGCTGGGCACTGCCTGTGCAGAGCCTTCAGCAGCAGAGCAGTATTTGCTCTCTTATCTCCACGCACGGGGAGGTGAGCAGCTGTGAGAAAGGCACAAGCACGGGCTGGCACCGCTCGGCTGGGGCTGGGAGGCTGTGGGAGCCTGGGTACTGGGGGCGGGGGCAGCAGGCGACCTCTTCCAGGGGGCTGGGGACCACTGGCAATCCCCGTCCTCTCCTCAAGCCACTGCTTGGCCCTGAGGTGTGATGTATGCAGTGCCTGCCTTGGCGTTCCTTCATGGGGTGGCGCATGGCAGGGCTGGCCCCAGGGACATGCTCAGCACCCCCCGCTGTCCTCGTCTCCATCCAGTACAGCATCACGCTGCCCTGCCAGACACCAAACTCAGACAGACACTGCCGTGGTACAAATGCAATTTGTATTTTCAGTCCGTGCTGGGAAAACCCCCATCCATCAGTCTTGGGAGTGGGCAGCAGATCCCACAGCTCAGTCCTGCTCCACCAGCAGAGCCCCTCCAGCTCCCAGCCCCAGGGACATGCCCCCAGCGTGGGCAGGCAGAACCCTGCTCCTGCCCTATCCGTCCCTTTGGGGCCATGGCATAGTGACACGAGGTGCCCCATGGGACACAGGCGATGCCCAGCTCCAGGCTTGCCTCCCTCGGGCACTGCCCCAGCTCCTGCGCTGCCTCACC